GCTATCCAATGGCCTGCTCTCAATGGACTCAACTTCAGGATTTTCTCTGGCACGCTTGGCTTCACGGTCAGGCATGGTGAGATCGGTCTGATTTGGTCGTTTGTGACTTGCAAAAACCGTCACAAGCAATTTTGAAGGGATGCCTGATCTGATCTGCTGACGATGTGACAGGGTTTCCCAATGTTCCCACTGTGAATCTTCAAAAATCTTCCGGTCGGTGCGGTGTCTCCCTATGGCTCTCCTGAAAGGAGCTATCCCCTTTTCTCCAATTGGACAAACCCTCATGCGATTAATGCCACGGCAAACATCCAAACAAATGATTTGTCTATCGGGATACCTGTCTTGAACAGCTTGGAACAACGGGCCATCTCGGATGACAACAGGTCCAACTCGAGGAGCGCTCTTTTCAGCCATTTCTAAAATCTGTTGGGAAACAACATCACCAGGCTGTGGCAGCGACACAGTTTGGGATCTGTCGGAACTTGGACTCTCTTGCGAGGGTGGCACAAACAGAAATTCCGGATGGAATTTGCCAGCAAGTCGACGACGCTTTGGCTCGGACTTCTCAGCAGCTGTATTGGTCACAAAAGAAAACTCCTGATGCTTACCAAAGACCTTCTCCTGGATTTGACAGCTACACTGAATGGCACGGCTGAGGCGTCTACCAAACATGGCTGTATACAACTCTGTGTATTTGGACACAGGCATGCGACCAAAGCCAGCAGGTTTGCAAGATCCGGCAATGACATCATGGTGATGGTTGCCCACACATTGGCATCGCTGTAAAGTTCTCCACATGATTTGTGAAGTGGTTATCCACAATATTTTCTATTTCTCGTTGGAAAACTAGTTCGGAGCCCTGCGGTTGTTCCAAATGAAAATGAAAATCACCCGTTCTCCAATCTTGAAGTCTGAAAATGGCATCACAAAGGAGTAAATGGACGTTCTCAGAGATCCTGTCCTGGTGGATCTTGTCGGCTAGGGCAAGGGACTTCTGACTATTGAGTCGGTTCCAGTTGCTCCATGGGCCACAGCGGGGTGAGCACCACACATGTCTGGTTCTCAACATCCACAACATGTCATACAACTGACACCTACCATGAAACGTGGCAAGATCCCCATCTCTCAGGCAAAAACGCTTGGCTGACATTCCAGCTTGCACGCATTGGGCAGTGAGTTGGCTATCACTGGAACAGTATACTTCCAGCAAGTCGCAGTGTGATTTCTTCCAGTGTTGTTGAAGGTCCTCCCATGAAAGATGGGTATGTTTCTTGCGGTAGTAAGTCCACATCTCTTGATACACCCAGTTATGCATACCAAAGCGACCTCGAAACACTTCTTGGAAATAGGCGGTATCATGTATACTGCATGGATCTTGTTGCATCACTTGACAACCAATCTCGTCTGCCACCCATGACCTAAACTCGGACTCAGGCTGACCCTCTCTCACGGAGCAGCTGTCTGCTGATGGTGAATCATCTGGGTCAGGATCTGGAGCTGGCTGGCAATCTGGGACATCGTGTTCTCCATGTTGTTCAGGCGTTGTCCCTGTTGGGACACTTCGTCCTCCACGCTCCATGATCTCTCCAGTTCGTCCTCGCTCCAGCTGGAAACTTCTTCCGGTACCACTGACGGCTTGAGAGCACATTTGGCCTTGGGTTTCAGCATCAGGTTCGATGTCTGATTCTTCGGGGATTCCACGGAAGTTCCCTCTTGCGTCAACTCCAGGCGCTCGACATAGATGTTGATGAAGTAGAGGAATGCTTGGTGAGCCCGTTTCTGGCTCTCTGCATACTTCTTTGCGAACCACTTGACATACTTGGGATCTTGTTCGATCACATCGATGAACTTCTGGTTCAACTTCGTCTCGCCGAAGGAGATGCGCATCTGTGATAGCTCCTCGTAGGAGTGTTGCATGAACTCCTCGTTCACCTTGGTCTCCGTGACTGCTGCAAAGCGATCGGCAAGACTCTTGGAAGCCATGATCGGTCAGTACAGTCGGGTGAGGTGAACAACGTTCGGATGCTACAGGCAAACTTGACACTACCGGCTGTTGGGTTGACGGAAGTTTGACTTCCATAGCATGGTCCTCTTGGGAAAGGACATTGGTATTCACGGCTGTCATGATTGGCTTTGCATGATCTGGAGTGACTGGCACCTGAGACCTACCTTCAAACGACTTCTTGACCAAATCACAAAAGTCCAGCAGGTAGAGTTTCTTTTCCGACAACGTCAAATCCATGGAGAATCCAAGTTCGGCAAAGTGCACTACGTCCTGTGCTGTGTCAATCTGAGCTCCAAGTGTTCTGAAAACGTTATTGGACAGCAAGAAAGGGGTTTGAGAGTTCACAACACAAATTTTAACCATCCATTTTCCCAGCGGAATCATGAGAGCAAACTGACAATTGACGGTGCTGCTATTGCCAAAACGAAATATGGTCTGGCACGGTACTCTTTGGACTTGGCTCTGAATGGACATTGGGAGGTGTGACAACAGAGATTCAACCTGTTGACGACCTATCACCGTTTGACTTGCGCCCAAATCCATGATACCGTAGGGGCCATGACTCACAAACATCGCTACATCAGTGTCAGGCAACAAATGACCTGTCAGGCACGGCTCAGAATGGCTTTCAAGTTGAGGGCTTAGGCGTTGCTTCATGGAACTCAGGAACCTTGAAATGCACTGGAGATTCAATTTTCCCTCGTTCTTGGATTGATCAGCAAAACTCATAAAGCAAAATTCCTGACCCTTTGAAAACACTGAGTCAAAACAAGGTACTTCACTCAAACAGGATTCCACGACGATCATGTCTTGGTCATCAGGCTCATCGGAAATGGCAGTAACTGTCCCTGCAAAAGCACTACTGGAAGTGCCGGTGGTCGATGCAGCAGCGGCAGTACCCTTATTGAGTGGGCACTCCGCCTTCCAGTGTCCCTTCATGCCACATCTACGGCACTCTGACTCGAGAATGCGTTGGGCCAATGGTTTTCGGCCCTTGAACATGTTCTTGGTCTTCCCTTTCCCTTTACCCTTCTGAGTATAGGAGCTTCCCTTGGGATTCCAAAAACCACGGTTCTTTCCCTTGTCAGCTAAACGTTTTCGGGCATCCAAATACGTATTGTAACAAGCCGCAATCTCTGAATCACATTGAAGAGCTTCAACCAAACTTTCTTCAAACTGCATGCGCACCACTGCATCAGGGTCTGAATCATCATAGGGGATCTCATATTCTTCCCAAGTCTCGCCCATGAAAACGGTTTCATCCTCCAGATTTGGCATGAGTGGTTCTTCATCAAAGACTGCATTCACATCATAGGTTTTGTTGCGACCCACAGTGCGATTTCCCGTTTGGAGCTCATGGAAAAATTTTGATCCCAGAAGTTTCAAGGCTGACACTATGGACTTGTACTCCAACTCACCCTTGGCATCTACGATGATCTTCTTCTTATCCTCTGAAACCAAACCAGAATTTCGAAGGAGTATGTAGGCTCGCACTTCATTGAATCCTACACCCATTTGTAAGAGTTCCTCAAACTGATAATCATGCCTCGCCAAATAGCTCTCGTGGGACTCATCTTGGCGCTGAACTGTGGAAAAAATTGCTCGCTCAAAACGTTCGAACTTATCCTCCAGGTTGCTCTTTCCCCAGATTCCCCCCAAAGTATTGATCAGCAATTTCACTCCGTCCAGACTATTGACTTTCAGCTTGGCAGGATCTAACCTCATGACCCGTTTGAAGGATGAACCCTCACACAGCATCGCAGCCCGCGAGGCCAAGTGGCTGAGATGTTCTGGAGGCCACAAACCTGCAAGGAACTCAATCTTTTTGGTGTACTCGTTGATCTCGGTCTCCCCCGGCTTAAACGCCGGAATCATGTTCCAGGGCAAATGGGACAAAGACGGTCCGCTAGGGACAGATGACTGAGCCACCTCTTCAGTTCCATTCATCCTGGATCTCAAGGCTTCCAAAAGTGTGGCCACACACCTTTGGCCTGGGTAGCTCCGCTACCAGTGTTGGATCAATCCCAAACACTGGTAGGGGCTCCTAAATTCCAATCTTTTCCAAAGTAAAAGGGGACCCCTGGTCCAAACACCAATGAAAGCACCTCCGGATGCTATGGCGACCGCGCCCTTTTGACACCACTGCAATTGGTGCAAAGTCGAGGGGCACCCTAAGCCCTCAACACATCCTGAGCCACAGGACCTTGAGATATTCATGGTACAGATACCCACATGGAGGCCAGTTGATACAACTCGTTGTAAAGCTTCCGAAACTGCACCAAGTTGGAATGCAAAGAGTTGACAAATCACAACATATATATATATATATATATAGATATGTGTAAATACAAATAAATGCCTAAACATCATTCAGAAACAGAAATATATAATACAAATGCATGAACATTACATTGAGAAACATTGACATAATATATATATAATACATTTATATATATATACAAATAAAAACATATATACAAATATAAATATATATATATATATAATGTATGTGTAATTATAAACCATCTCTTCTGAAATGCTCGTTTATGATTTTAGAGAAGAATCAAAACAGAAAGAGCGTCAACTGGCATTCGCTTTGCATGCGTTTTCCACCCCTCTAGAATGCCTTCGAACCAAAAAAACATGCGCAACGTTGCGTCTGACTCCCGAGAAAAAATAGAAAAGAAAAATCGTGCGCTTGACATTTCACACATGATCCGGGTTTCGTACACTTTTCCAGGCTTCTCTCCGTTCTCACTGCTTCTTGCAAACCAGGAACAAACAGTGGAGAAACATGTTGCATTGCTTCTGAGGGCCTAGAAACCTCTCTTCCCTGGCTCGACCCCCCCTTGTTCCACGTGGGTCGGTGGATATTAGTCCTTGAGAAATTGTCGGTAGTTTTTTGGCTGAGTGTATAACTCCAGTTCGGGCATTTAAGGCAAGCCAAAAACCATCAAAAACCTATTGCATCGCAAGATTCGCAGCATCGAGTGCTTCAAAACCCAAAATGTTCTGAATCAAAATGTGGTGTCCTCCCATGGGTCCTGGCCTCCCGACAGCACCAAAGTTTCTTGGCCGGTTCCCAAAGATAGCGATTCTCTGTGAAGCAATCTGGCCTCGCAAAGAGCCAGGCCGGAACTCATGGCAAAACTGGATGCAAAAACGGCACAATCCCATCTCCCTAAATCTCACAATATCCAACTATACCCCCCCCCTCACCCCAAAAAAAACTGGTTTAATGATGTTTAATGATGTTTAATGATGTTTAATGATGTTTAATGATGTTTAATGATGTTTAATCTTGTTCTCTGTGTACATTTTGGGGGGTCCCAATTTTAGAGGCTTCCTCCACAGATCTTCCATTCTTCCATGGTCTTCCTCCAAGGCACTGGTCAAACAATGGGGGTCGTGCAGCTGCCACATCCCTCGGTGCGGCTTCGTTTCTGAAGCCGGGAAAATGCCCTTGAAATGACCAGCGGAAGCCAAATGACCATGACCATCATGACCATCATGACCATGAAACACATGAAACATGATGGGAAATGACCTTTAAACACAGATATTTTGACCATTGAACATGAAACATCATGAAAATAAACTCTGGGTTGCCATTTTTTTGGCCCAAGCAGCACAGGTCCTCCATGAGTCACCTCAGCAATGCCCAACTTTCGGTCTCCCACGGGAATAGTCCCTACAGTCTCCACACAGGGCTACATCTTTAAATTATTGAGTGATACCGATAATCCATTAAAATGTATTAAAATGTGATACCATGTGATACCCAAATCCAGGAAAAAAAACGGGATATCCATAGGGTTTCCCATGGTTTCCCTAGTTTCATCCGGGTTCACTGTTCCATGTAACCACCACCATGACCGTTCAGTCAGGGCACCGCATGGTGCAGGTCAGCCACCCTACTCAAGCGATGAACTGGCACCTCGCAGCCGAGGGTGTTGCAGTGATTTGGGGGACATGGCCATCATGGGTCACAAAAAATGGATCGAAATGGATAATTCTAGTGGCACCCCTGGGTGAATAATATAATATGATTAATTTTGATTAATAATATGTGAAGATGAAAAAATCGCCGGCCATTTCTATGTCCATTGAGCCACTGGTTTGACCATCACCCACTGAGCTTTGGCACAGCTCGTGTGACGAAGCCCAAGCAAACCACCGCTAGGACAAAGATAACGGTGCCCAAGATGCACCAGCGCAGCTCCTGGTGTCCCCAATACCCCAAGACCAATAGAAAGGATGGCCAGGGATGGACGAAAAATATCGAAAAATGGCCCGCGAAAGTCAGACTCACGGATTTGGGGGTTTCATGAGCACGACAAGACCACGGAGCAGCTGTCCTCCGATGTGTGCAGTTCAGCCGCACGACCTCCAGGCCAGATTTCGAGGCTGAGCAGAAGTCCAAACTATGGAAAAGTAAGGGCCTATGGATCCCATGGATCCCATGGATCCCATGGACTATGGCTATAGAATGCTATAGATATCTATGAAGTTCGAGCAAATTCCGTGCAATTTCCACTGACCAATTCGTAAAGTCTAATTCTGAAACCCAGACTCTGTCCACTGAAAACTCGATACATCATGGTGCCAGTTCCCTATCCCTGTACCGCACTAGCCCCCTTGTTGCGGCCAAAGAACTAGCTGCATTGAGCCCACTTGGTGGTCGCTCCTGGGCACTAAGCACGGCGGCCAAGATCTGCATGATTTTTTCCATATCAAAACACATTCAAAGACATTGAAACCCAACACCTGACATTTGACATTAGTAATCATGAGCTGACCCAATTTGAAAGGGATAAGATGGGTTAACTACCCCACTCTAGACCCCACTCCTGTTCGCAAGGTGGCTCCTCGGCCGCCTGGACAGCTGGATACAGCTGGTCATTGCCATCATGGCAGATTTTCTTAAAATGGGGGACCCCCTAGTAAAACCCATAGGTTTACTATGGTTTACTCAAAAGGTCTAATGACTTGGGTGATTTGGGGGTGCCCAAAAACTGGGGTGTGCCAAGAGATTACCCTGAAAAAAACTATAAATTTTTGATCACTCCCCAGCCCCGCCGCCCCGCCTGAGTCTTGCCATCTTTCCTGGCTCAACATTGCTGATCTCAGCATGGAAAAAATCTGGGGCACCACTCAGGGAAAATCTACAGGAGACCATGATTCCTAGCATCACATATTGGGTGTGGGCTCCAAAAACTAGACGACGGTTGGCCCGAGAGCGAAAAAGATGTTTTTCAAGCAGCTCTGAGGATGGTAGTCGTAAAAGATAGTCGGTGAATAGTTGGTGAATTTTATATGGCTATGGAAAGATATGGTGTGAAAAAGTAAGATTGATCAAGAAGAGAATATTTGGTAAAGGGCATCAGATGACATGTGTCTTGCAACCACAGAGAGAAAGAGGGGGGAGAGATAAAGAGAGAGAGAGAGAGAAAGAGAGAGAGAGAGAGAAAGAGAAAGCAAGAGAGAGAGAGAGAGAATGAAAGGGGGAGGTAGAAAGAAAACATGGAGAAATGTAATGTGAGCAACAAAAGTGCACAGGAGGCTCGGTACCATGAGTCTGCGAATGACATGTGCTATCTCATTTTATTATGGTAATTCCCACACACATTGCGGAAAAAGGCTCGGCACCATCATTCCGTGAACGCGAAGAAACGCGAAGCTTTTATACAGAGACGCTTTTACACACAGAATCTTTTACACATAAACACTTTTACACACAGACGCTTTCACACAGAGACGTTTTTCATGCACACACACACAGACGCATTTCCACAGAGACTTTTACACAAGAACACTTTAACACACAGACGCTTTTATACACAGACACTTTTACACACATACGCTTTTACATGCAGATGCCTCTTTACAGACGCACACATACTTTCACACACAAACGCTTTTACACACAGACGCTTTTGCACACAGACACAGACGCTTTTCCACACAGACCACACATACACGCTTTTACACACAGACGCTTTTACACACTTTTACACGCTTTTACACACATACGCTTTTACACACGGACGCTTTTACACGCAAACACTTTTACATACAGGCGCTTTTACACACAGACGCTTTTACACTCAGACACTTTTACACACAGACGCTTTTCCACACAGACCCTTTTACACACAGACGCTTTTACACACAAACACTTTTACACACAGACGCTTCCACAGAGACTTTTACACAGAGACGCTCACAAAGCGCGGCACCACTGGGTGACCTCAGTTGCAAACAAAGGTGCGCAAACATAGTTGCAATGGAAATGCTAAAAATCGCAAAAGTGCACAAGACCAGGCTCAGTACCATGATCAACGCACAATCCAATGCAAGGCATCCGCTCTTTGAGATACAAAATAAGCTCGGCACCATGATGCCGTGGATGACCTCAGTTGCAAACACAGGTGGGCAAACATAGTCGCAATGGAAATGCTACAAAATGCAAAAGTACACAAACAAAGGCTCCGTACCATGGTATCCAAAAGAATCTAGAACTCCGTGCAAGAATGCTGTGAATGATTCCACAATAGCAAGTTCGATATCATGATGGCAAGGATGACACCTGTTTCACTGCATTTCTCCGATGTCCCTACAGGATGGAAAAAAAAATCTTTACAGACAAACAACAGTTGGCTACTGGTTTTGCATGTTCGTCACGAACAGTCTCTCCAGACGAACACTGCTACAGATTAATTTGCGCCAGTTGCACTTAGTTCCATGTGCCACTCGGTACGCAAGCCTTCCAGCTCCCACAAGCTGCTTCCAAGCAAAGGTCGGTACCATGATGCTGCAGATGTGGCATGTTTGCCGCTTTTACTACTGCAGCAATCCGGCTACTGCGGTCGATCTTTATCTGGGCACCTCCACGGACACGACCTAAGTTCCAGCATCTCTGTGCTCATACTCGAGATTCACAACGCAGTCGTTGCAGTGCCCGCAGATGTAACATCTCTCGGCTGCCATTGTCCTCCAAACATGTTCTATGCTTCTGATTGTTTTTTTGATATATTTCAGATGATGATGATGATGATGTTTTACACACGCACACGCGCTTTCACACACAAACGCTTTTACACACAGACGCGTTCACACACAAACGCTTTTACACACAGACGCGTTTACACACAGACGCTTTTACACACAAACGCTTTTACACGCAGATGCTTTTTACACACGCAGACACGCTTTCACACACAAACGCTTTTACACACAGACGCCTTTACACACAGACACTTTTACACAAACGAAAGCGTCCAACGCAATTTTTCCTCAGTTTTTGACGTCCAACGTCCATTTCGTGCGAAAGAGTTGCGATTGACCAAGTAAAATCGCAATTTTTCCTCAGTTTTTGACGTCCAACGTCCATTTCGTGCGAAAGGGTTGCGATGGACACCTCAAAGTCGCAATTTTTCCTCAGTTTTTGACGTCCAACGTCCATTTCGTGCGAAGCGGTTGCGATTGACTAAGTAAAATCGCAATTTTTCCTCAGTTTTTGACGTCAACGTCCATTTCGTGCGTAAGGGTTGCGATTGACACCTCAAAGTCGCAATTTTTCCTCAGTTTTTGACGTCCAACGTCCATTTCGTGCGAAAGGGTTGCGCGCGACGGATGACAATCGCAACTTTCCTCAGTTTTTGACGTCCAACGTCCATTTCGTGCGAAAGGGTTGCGCGCGAGCCATAAAAGTTGCAATTTTTCCTCAGTTTTTGACGTCCAACGTCCATTTCGTGCGAAAGGGTTGCCGGGGACGCTTCAAAATCGCAATTTTACCTAGGTTTTGGACGTCCAACGTCCATTTCGTGTGAAAAGGTTGCGTTTCGTGGCGCTCCGGCGGCACCGCCCTCGCCTTAAGCGAGAATAGAAGAAGAGCGAGAGGAGATCTGCAGATGTGAAGGTGTGAAGATCTAGATCTGCAGGTGTGAGGGTGTGAAGATGTAGATCAGCAGATGTGAAGGTGTGAAGATGTAGATCAGCAGATGTGAGGGTGTGAAGATCTAGATCTGCAGGTGTGAGGATGTGAAGATCTAGATCTGCAGGTGTGAGGGTGTGAAGATCTAGATCTGCAGGTGTGAGGGTGTGAAGATGTAGATCTGCAGATGTGAAGCTGTGAAGATCTAGATCTGCAGGTGTGAGGGTGTGAAGATGTAGATCTGCAGATGTGAGGGTGTGAAGATGTAGATCAGCAGATGTGAGGGTGTGAAGATCTAGATCTGCAGGTGTGAAGGTGTGAAGATCTACATCTGCAGATGTGAGGTGTGTGAAGATCTAGATCTGCAGGTGTGAAGGTGTGAAGATGTAGATCAGCAGATGTGAAGGTGTGAAGATGTAGATCAGCAGATGTGAAGGTGTGAAGATGTAGATCAGCAGATGTGAAGGTGTGAAGATGTAGTATAACGGCTGCTTTTTTACGAAGAACCCTTCGCAGGCGCTCTCGGGGAAAAGTCCATCACTTGGTGGTTCATCCCAGTTCGCATGTGGATCATAACCCAATTTCTAAATACGATAAGTGGGGTTGGTCCAGTGACCATACAGTAACTGGGTGGACTATTGCGCACGATTCTAATGAGTGTTCACCACCAAGCATCATAAGCCTTTTATGGGACCAGATGGGACCAGTAAAAATCAACAGCTGCTGCCGGAGTCTTTCACAGCAGTCCTGATATCTTCCGCTTGCTCCTGTTGCCGCCCCTCGCGTCGTAAGAGCCAGGGTGTAGCTCCAGATCCTGAAGTCAGATCTCAGTGTCAACATGCGACCCATACCATTGCACCACCCTAAAAACCATCATTGGATGGGTCGGAAAGTTCGATTTTTGGTCGGAATTGATTAGAAAGCCCACTGTGGATTTTCCTCAGGTCATCTCAAGAAATTGTGTAGTTGGGGGTCACCATCAGAAATATAGCCGAAAAATGACAAAGCGATTGAAACCGCCAACTAGGGAGGTATAATGACCCCATCAACAGACTCGCAGGATACTACTTAAAGCCGATGACATGCTGGCTGCAGGCAGGTTTGTTCCAATCTGCCAAGTTTGCCATTAAAAAAAAAACACCATCTTGTTCCTATCCAAACATGCAATGTTTGAATGATTTGAATGGTACCCCTGATGAATTTCAGCCGTATCTCACCAGTCCTTCACTTTCGCCACGCTCCTGCGAGGACCAAGGGTGACTCTGTTCCCTGGGAATGCATCATACCAAGACCAAAAGCCCCTTTCCTCCAGAGAAAAAAAATGCCACGACACATATGGGTTCGTCTGAGAATTGTGTACAGTTTTAACCCAACTGGTTCTCTCTCATCTTTCTCCCTCATCAAAATCGCTACATTGGATCTATTTGGGGGTATCCTCCATTTTCAGACCATTTCTATGACCTATGCAGATGGCCCCTGTCCAGCAAACTCAATGTGCTCTCATCACCTCTTCCAGGACCTAGGAACTGCATGGGAAAAAAGATCTTTGACCGGGAAAAATCACATGTTTTGGTGGATGTTAAGTGAAACCGATATGTTTTTTGGGGCAATATGGTTTTACCGAGATATGTGTGTAAACGGGGTGTCAACAGTTCGCATACATGTTTGTGCCTGCGGACCGAAAACCGTGCTCGTAAAACGCACGTTTTTGGGGTGGGGTGGGGTATAGGGTGGGGGGGGCCATGTCAACGTTCCTTGTACTTCGTACATTATAGTGTGCTACGCTGCAAACTGTGGGATCGTTGCTACGTTACTTGTTTCTACGCTGCTGATGGGGTGGGGTGGGCTGGGGCGGGGGGCATGTCAACGTTCCTTGTACTTCGTACATTATAGTTTGCTATGCTGCAGAGATCTGTGGGATCGTTGCTACGTTACTTGTCACCACGCTGCAGGGATCTCTGGTGTTGTTGCTATGTGACATGATTCTACGCTCCTGATGGGGTGGGGTGGGGTGGGGTGGGGGGGCATGTCAACGCCCCTTGTACTTCGTACATTATAGTGTGCTACGCTGCAAAGATCTGTGGGATCGTTGCTACGTTAGTTGTTACTACGCTGCTACTACGCTGCTGAGATCTCTGGGATCGTTGCTACGTTACTTGTTGCTACACTGCTGAGATCTCTGGGATCGTTGCTACGTTACTTGTTACTACGCTGCTGAGATCTCTGGGATCTCTGAGATCTCTGGCAATGGAGATGCATTCACAAGAATGCTGACTGCCAGCTGGTAACGGTGCATGCGTTGCAGCATGATGACGGTGAAAAGCCAAAAAACGCGCCTCATTCTTTTTCAGGTTTTTAAATCATCAAATCGGCACGGCACTGTGGTAAAATCACCATTTTTGGACACAATGTGCACACCGATGAGCACGGTTTCCGGTCCGGCGGGATGTTTGTGTATGTGTTTCTACTTCAGTATCTGATTATCTCAAAGACCCTGGAATTTGACAGTCACGAGAGCACCGCAGCAACTCAGCACAAAAGTCAGTGCGGTCGAGACGCTATCCTTCATTTTGTAGCAATTCGAGATGTCCCGCTTTGCGGCGTCTACAAATTGAGCAAGAAAAGCTGGCGGAGTGGGCAGACACTTTCGGACAAACTTGTACCTAATCTGTACGATTTTGCACTAGACACAACAGCAACCAGTGCATGAGTGTTTCCACTGACTCGTCTGTAGCCGATGCACATCCGGGATAGATCGGCTACAGCTTCCAAGCGCATCGAGGTCATATGCTGAGTTTGAAACTGCCTCAAGAATCATGTTGTTTGGAATTGTCGGTTCCTTCATTTTTTTCTATCAATTGAAATCGCGCAAAGCTAATTCTGCACCCAATCATCTGCCCTCATTTCGGCATTCAGTCATCCAGTTATCTGTTGTTTGTTGGCTCCATTGGTTTAGTCCAGAGTCCATCGCATAGTAACATAATACAACAATATGCGTGTATATATATAATTACACAACATAGAACGAAGTATTAAAGTGCCTACATATATACATTCCATATCCATATATCTTTGCATATATATATATAATAATAATATATGTGACTACATATATATATATATACATATATACGTGTGTATATGTATGTATATATATATGTATATATATATATGTATGTGTATATGTATATATATGTGTATATATATATATGTACATGTGTATATATATATGTGTATATATATATGTATACGTATATGTATATGTAGATGTATAAATATATATGTATATATACATATATATATATATACATATATACGTATTTGTATATATATATATATGTATACACGTTATATATCAGCATTGTGTGCGTGTTTTGTGTATCTATCTATATCAGTGTGTATATGTGTCATTATGTGTCATGTATCATTTAATATACCTATTCCAAATAAAAAGTTATAAAAACAGCATAGCCCTTTCAATTAGTTGAAGCAACTTTGGCTTCGGCGAATCTTGAAATCTTCAGGGCTGCTGGGTCATCACCATGGCCTTTGCCTTGTAGTCCGGGTCCAGGTTCTTTAACAACAAATCATGGATGAGGCGTTGCTCGTTCTCCGAGCCTTGCGTTCGTGGTGAACCAACCACAAAATGGTCACCTATCCCAAGCCCCTCAAAAAATATAGCAAACTATGTTGTAAATTGTGGGAAACTATGGTTGATTGTGGTTAATTCTGATAAACTATGGTGTTTACTGGGTTTGCCCATACAACTCCGCGAGGGAGAAAAAAAACTCTCTCTGGCGTTTATCCATCAAACTCCCTTCCCCTCCCCCAAAAAAATAAGATCCATTCCAAATTACAACAACCATAAATTAACCATATCTCAAAAATCAGCCAAGAAAACAAAATCCTTCCAAATCCTCCGAAAAAAAAATATCTCCATGTTTTTCCCAGTGACTAAAGGTATGCCCCAGCAACTTGAGTCTCGCCACCGTGCTGCTAGCCGTCTCCGCGGCCCCGTGCACCAGCGCTCGCTTGGCGTCCACCTGCGCCACCGCCTGCTGCCGCGCCAGCATCGCGGAGGCGATCTGCGAGTCGTACTTCAGATCCGTCAGTTGGAAGCGCAACACCTGGAGATCTTTGATGGTTTTTGGGACAATCCTCACCGGAAACATTCGGAAACCGTTGGGGTTTTTGTTTAAAACCATGGTGAAGAATAGGGGGTGTCCAGGAATATCGTGATTAAGAATGGTATTGTTATGTATTAATTACCACTGATACTAAGAAGCACGAAGTCACTAAGTGGATCACCTTAAGAACCAGCATGAATAGTGATAATAATAGTAATAATAATAAACCTCATGTGGTGATATGGATTTGCATGTGTCGCAATTCTATTGTTTTGTGCAATTCCGTCTGTGCAGATCGCAGTGGAATGGCTGCGCCAAGGCTTCTCGAAGGGTACTTGTTCTCCAGTACTGTCTTGCGATTCTGATTGTGGTTTGCAAGTCATTGTTGGCAGATCGCATTGGAACTGCTACATCATGGGTGTGGTTTGAGTGTTAGGATTTGCACGAAACATTGTGTTTTTTCAGGTAAACGGAGGTTCCATTGCGGAGAAACGTTGGACACAATGATCTTTGAGCTAGTGAGAATAAAACCATCCGTAACTCGGAGTTTGCTTCATGAAACTTCCTTTGACAAGTAAGTAGTCCTGGCATGTCCTGGCTGGCCGGTTGGCAAATGCAAAATTCATCCATCAACATCGGTGGCGCCTGGACACCAGCACTGGTGACCAGCTTCTGTAGTTCATCTCCTAGCATCTGACTGGGAGCACCGCTCCTCAGCTCATCATAATGGAACCTGGAAGCCACGGTTCGCAACACCATGGGAGCCATCTCCAAGGTGTATTTGTCCGGCAGCGCTGTATCCACGGTGGCCTTCTTGGCTGAAGTAATCCTTAGATTTTCAAGCCAACCAACTAAAAAGGAGTCCACCAATGGTTTCCGCAAAATTTGCAAATTGGGATCTAAGATTTATGAAGATGTTAAACAAATGCCAGCAGGAATCTTGTAGGCGATGTTGCCACTGATGTAGATGGGATTCCCATCCTTATCCGTGACACTGACCTCGCGGACGTCCAAGGTCTTTCGCACCGTGTCGACGCGTCGGATCTCAACGCCGCAGGGGTTCACCACGTGAATGCCGGGCTCGTTGATGCTGCCCACGTACTTCCCCCAAACCAGCACCGCCTTGGGCGTTGCGTCTAAAGGGGTAAGAATCCTTGCAGATTCCACAAATTGAATGAAGATCAGGGGATTTAAAAAGCAAAGAAAAAATAGATGTATATATATATATATATTATATAATGATATAGCTAAATATCCCCGGTAGATACCCCTAAAATGGTGGATGACTTCCACTTCAAAAAGATGGAAAAAAATACCGCAAATCCAAGCCACCGCCCTTTCATTCTGCGAGATCATCTTCAAAGAGCACAGCCAACACGGAGAGAAGACCGTGGAGAGCACTGCGCTGAGGGCATCTGGGCAGCAGAGATTCGCCTCCACATCCATCTCTTCAAGGCCAGTTTCCTCATCGCTGTCCTCTACCAGGTGGGCTTCCATGCTCTGCTGAGCTGGCTTCGCCATGGCTTTTTGCCCCAGATGGTTCTGTAAAAAATCGATTGGATCTATGTGGTCCTTGATATGCCTTGAGATGCCTTGAGCCACGCGGCGTCACACGTGCCAAAACTGGAGCTCTTTCACCACCAACACCCAGATCGTTACATCATCAATCAGAAGCTAAAGAATCCTGACTGAAGACAACATAAGACGACGACAGCTCGACTGTTGCCATCAAGAACCGCAATAATGTTCCTACAAGAATCACAAGCACACCTCTCCATGAACAACATTCAAAAAACATGTCTGCTCTTCATGCAATAAAAAAGATCCAAAAAGTAATTCTACATTGTCTCCTGCACGTCACGTCCTGGCCCTTTTCAAACATTCTTCAAACGTCGCCACATTCGTCACATCCCGCATCCGCCACCAGATAGACTTGTCCAAAAATTGAGATATTCCAAATTCTCAGGGTTGATCGTCAATTTTTTCTGGATCTTATATAATTAGATGGCATTGAATCATGGTAAATCCTTGTCTCAATGCGTCTCAATCATTCAGGTTTTGGACAAACCAACATCTGCATACTCTGCCACATCAGACATGCACATCCGCACTGGCTGCCAGTGGCCGCCGCTTCTTGCAGCAGCGACGGCACCATGGCTGCTGCGACGGCGGTGTCGTCGCTGGCTGCACCGAAGGGAGTGGCGGTGCCGCGGGCGGCACCAAATCTTCGCAACGTGGCAGGCGTCGGATGGCCAGCAACTCGGTTAAGGAGCCGGGAATATCCTGAGGGTTGCGGAAGGCAACGGAAGACTTGGTTACGGTTGAAATTTTGATTTTCATGTGGGAACACATAGACAACTCATTCGCATATGATAAACTCCAGAAAAATATAGAAAAACATAGAAAAACTGGATTTATTATTGCATCTACCTCACTAATCAGGTTCGAAGTTCGACATAGAGAAAAATCTGAATGTGGGACGTGTCCTGTACCTTGCTCCCTACACCTTGCATAGGAAGCCCCCAAGGGGAATGCCCCAAAACAAACCACCGTCCTCGGGTGTGGGTTTCTGCCAGCAGGTGTTGGGCCTTCCACCCACGCAGCCCTGCCCATCACATGTGCAGAGGCCACCCAAGATGGAAGGGAGTGACTCAGGGCGAATCAATTGCTGTCCGTAGGGGCACATCGTGCCACTTGGCCTTGGAGATCTGGGGGGCTAGGTCACCAAAATGGGTATCCTGGATGAAAGTTAATCTATAACATAATCTAACAATCATTCAAAATCAACATGCAAATTAATGATCACGAAGGTCAAGATAAATGGCTGCAAATGCAAATGGCCTCATCATCGTTGATATCGAATAATGTTCAATATCTGGCAGCATGATGCATTAGAGATCCCCTGCTCACACCTGCAAATCTGCGCGGATACTAAACCATAACAACATATGCGCGTCATCACCAGAATCTCCTTGAAGCCCATCTTCCATTGTCTTCCATTGTTTTCCATTCTCTTCCAAGGCACCTTTGTCGATGTATCCACACCTTGGACAAGGTCTTCTGACTTAGGAAGTTGGAGGCCAGGCGAAAAGCCAAGCCGACCCAGCTGGGCGCGTTGAAAATCACCACACGACCCAGCAGCTGTGGTCGCAGCCACTCGTTGGTCTTGGAGACACGACCCAAGATGCGAAAGAAGCGCCGGTCCGGCATCATGCCCATACCACTGAGGTCTTGGAGACCAATGTGTTTCACGAAGTACGACATTTTTCCTACGAAACACAGGGAGATCAGGGAGGTTTGGATGAAACCTTTGGACTTACAGCTCGGTGTGTAGATGTAGTGATTATATGTCACTATGTAGTCCAAGGATGTCAAAGGATCAAGTTGAGGGGTAGAAGCGGTAGAAACATGCAGGAATGTTATATTAATATGATGCATCCATTGGTCAATCATGATTTCCCCTAGTAAAGTGCTAATTGGACGTAATACCCCATTTTCAAACAAAACCATATTAAGCATACCATTCGAATATGCAGGTGGGAAAGCTGAAAACTTCGGGTTTTGTGTGCAAGGTTCGGGTCGCTGCCTCGCAGTATTGAAAGGAGCATTCATTCAGATAATTCACCCATAACTCCACCTTCTCTTCGCCCATCATGTCCTGCCAGTCCGTGCTGCCTCTACTAAACGTTGCACGCATACAGAGATGGCACAGTATGTCATCACAAATCAACACAGAACGGTCACCCTGCAGGGCACATCAAGTCACTACACATGCAGATTGCGGACATCTCCAGAACGGCTGTCTGGTTGGAGAGGCCCACTCGAATGATCAACAGCCTCAGAGGTTTTTAAAAGGAGAAGAAGCATTTGTGGCACCTAGCACAATATGAATTTCCATGCAGATCATACATTTATTAGATTGGTTTAAGGGAAAATCTGCAGGAAACCATTGTTTTTACCATTAAATAAAAAAGGGTTCCTGTAAATTTTCCCGTAAACCAATCCAATGTTACATATTTGATAATATGTGTTTACTCATGCGTTTGTCTTCTCGCAGATTCATTAAGCTTGAAACAAAAGCTTCTATACAGGGGATCGTGGGAAGAGTTTTTTGTTCCTTGCTAGTTGCCACTTGAGGGTTCGTCCCCCAAAACAATCTAATATATAATATGATTCACAACAAACAATATAGTAATATAATAAAATATATTAATTGCAGAAAAATATGATAATATAATAGCACAATGATTCATGATATAATCTACAATAAAATAATAACAGTTATAGTATAATGATATAATTTCTCTCTCTCTCTCTCTCTCGTTCGCCGTCTGGTTCCGTTCAGCGGGGCTAACGGCGATCAGGTGGCCCAGCCATATCAACCAGCCAGCTCTTCGGCTAGCAGCTTCAGTCGGTTGAGCCACTTTCAGGGCAAAGCGGAAATTTCCACAACAACTTGGGAGTGGTGACAGACAAGGTGTATATGTAAAGTGATGGGAAGAAAAGGAAAAGGAACACACTTTTTATATTTATATAATTAGTTTCAATGTCTAGGCTTCACCCCTCATCTCTCAACAACTTTTTGCGCTCATCCTGTTTCAATATCGAACTTCCCCTTCCCCCTATGCGCCTCTCAATTTCCTGCATCCATTTCGCTTCATACGTAGACTTCCCCATTAGCCTCTCCACCACTTCTTACGTTTTTGTTGTTCCAATATCCGAACTTCCCCGGCATCAACAACTTCTTGCATGCATCTTGTCTCAATATCTAAATTTCTCCCACCCAGCGCCAGGTCCAAAAAAACATGTACGGTTTCAAAAAAAGAAGGCGCCAAGGTCCAAAAACATCTAGCCCAATGTGAGCGCCTAGAACAATGGAGTTTCCCCCCACCCTATGGAGGCAAGGTCCACGAAGCAGGCGCGCGGGTCCCAAAAACAGATACCGAGCTCAGAAACAATTAGTTTGGCTGTCAATGTCCCTAGGTCCAGCACAAATACATGCAGGTCCAATTTTTTACAGGGTCCAGAAAACACACAGGCAATCACAGGCACGTCCCCCACATTTTTTGCCCCCCCAGGTCCAGAAAAAAAAAAACGGCCAGGTCCAAAAAACATGTACAGGTCCAAAAGAAGGGTGCCCAGGTCCAAAAAACATGCATCCCAAAGGAAAAGCAGGCAGCGCGATTTTTCTGTACCTTAGCGGGATGGTGGTCCCAAGCAGTGTTGGGGGCAGAGCACGGAAAAAAATAAAATATAGGGACTAACAAAGACACGAAAAGGTATAGACAATCTCAGGGAAGGTTTTCTTTGGCTTGTCCTGCAATGTAAGCTTACTGTTACGGTTTTCGTACGCAAGACGAGGTTGCGAGAGAAGAGATGACAAGCAGCGAGTGTCGGGACAGAGCTCGAGAGAGGGGAAAGAGAACAAGAAGAGGAGGAAAACAGATGAAGGAGAGGAACAAGATGAAGAAGACGGAAGACGCAGAAGAAGAAGAAGAAGAAATGTGAGGCAGAGTGAGGCAGTATCAATGCCGGGCGCGGAAATGCAGGGTGAGGCTACAAGGGGCGTAGCCCGGCAAAGCGTTTCGTTGCTGCTGTGGTTGTGTTACGGTCCTTGTTTTTGTTTTTGTTCTTGTTTGTCTTCTTGTTCTTATTCTTCTATTTGCCTTGCTGTTATTTATTGTTGTGCGGGTGTTTGTTGTTCTTGTTCGTGTTCGCGTTTTGATTGTTTTTCTTCTTCTTCTTCCTCTTCCTCTTCCTCTTCCTCTTCTTCTTCTTCTTCTTCTTCTGTTGCTTCTGCTTCTGCTTCTTGCTCTTCTTCTTCTTCTTCTTCTTCTGTTGCTTCTGCTTCTGCTTCTTGCTCTTCTTCTTCTTCTTTTTCTTCTTCTTTTCCTTCTTCTTCTTCTTCTTCTGTTGCTTCTGCTTCTGCTTCTTGCTCTTCTTCTTCCTCTTCCTCTTGCTCTTCTTCTTCTTCTTCTTCTTCTTCTGTTGCTTCTGCTTCTGCTTCTTGCTCTTCTTCTTCCTCTTCCTCTTCCTCTTCTTCTTCTTCTTCTTCTTCGTCTTCTTCTTCTTCTTCCTCTTCCTCTGCCTCTTCCTCTTCCTCTTCTTCTTCTTATTCTTCTTCTTATTCTTCTTCTTCTTCTTCTTCTTTTTCCTGTTGTTGTTCTTGTCCTTGTTCTTGTTCTTGTTCTGGTGGTGATGGCGGTGGTGGCGATGATGGTCTTGTTCTGGTTCGCGAAGTTCTTGTTGTTGTTCGGAGTCTCGGCGGCACTCTTGTCCTCTTCATCGGGGTCGCCGTCGCAGATGTCGTCACTTCACGGTCGTCGTCGTTGCCGCGGTTGTTGTCGGAGGAGCCAACCGTTTTTGCGCGGGGCAAGTGGTGAGCATGCCCACCGACGAAAACCCTGTTGTATGGTATCTGTGCTGCGCAAGGAAAGCAAAACTTGACGGACCAAACTGGGCGCCATGCGAAGAACATGTCCAATCCACCGCCACACCATAGTGGCAAGCAAACAATCCTATGGTTCTGCAAAAGCTATAAAAATACCATAAAATAAATAACAATAATCGTATCAGAATACAATAATATAATAACAATAATCGCATAATAATAATGATAATAATGAAAAAATATAATAATAATATATTAATATATTATAATTTAAAAAAAACAATAATAATAATAATGATAATAATAATAATATAAATAATAATAATAATTTAAATAATAATAATAATAGTAATAGTAATATATAATAATAATAAGAAGAAGAAGAATATAATAATAATAACAACAATAATATATATATAAGTATAATAATATGTATAATTATAAAAATAGTAATGATACTGATAATATATATATATATAATAACAATAATAATATATAATACAATATAGTAGTATAATAGTAAAATAATATATTAATACAATAGTCATCAATCATCAACGACATACCAAATCATACCAGTGATATGTCAAATTCTGACCCACCATCATTGCCAACAACTCACCCCCAGCATCAACCTGGTTTTTCATGGGTTTTTCATCGAGGCAGCGGGTCGCCGAAGTTGGTGGCACCATGGAAGGACGTCAACAGAAGCGTCTGCAGACAGCAGAGTTCCTGCATTGTGAGGCCTGGAGGCGGTTTCCTCTGCTTAGCAGCTTCCACCAAGTCCTTGTGATCCTGGCGCCAAATGGCTAAAAACAGGAAGAGTGCAAGAAAAGAACCGGAAAAAAAAGTTCAGACATAGATAAACATAGTATCTTTGGGGAAACATGTGGATATGAAGTTAATGATATATTCTTGTTTCACCACAATTGTCAACATCACATCCCACAGCATCCCACACCTGTCGCCACTCGAGTGCCTTGCGGGCTGCCTGTAGCGCTTGATCGGGATGATTCTCATAGCTCAAGACATATCTCAGCAGCGAAGCATCCTCAAATGCGTCACCCAGCTCCTGGAAAGGCCCCAGGAAACATCATGATGAACCCCTGTGTGTTTTGCACGCGCGTGTCACGTTTCCAAAACAAAAATGACACAGAGTCACCAGGTTTTTGTTGATAAACATTCTACCCTCTGGTAATTTAACATAGCTATTGAAAATGGCCATTTATAGTGAGTTTTCCCATTGAAAATGGTGATTTTCCATAGTTCTGTTAGTTTACCAGAGGGTACCCCCCCATGTCTATTTGTTGTCTATTGGTTCCCATCCTGGCGTAGCACGTTGATGGCCTCCCTGTGTTGCTCAAAGAGTTGAGGCAGCGGGCAGCGTTCAAAGGCAGTGGCCCAAGCCATTTCGCATCAACCGCCGTTGCACGGCTTTGAAGTGTAGAAAAACAACATGGAAATATGTGAACGTCAATGGACATGCATGTAAAGTAACATGATTCATCAATTTAGTATGTTTTGTTATGTGCGCACAGAAGATCACAGCAATATTTGCACGGTAATTTACCTATACCAGTATGTATCCCTGATACGTCTCTATTCCTACGTGTATTTGCATGCGTTCCGGACGCGTGTTTGCTTTCCTCCCATGTCATCAGGTTATTGACACGTGCTGACGTCCAGAAACAATGGGGCACGGCAGTGACACACATGCTGACGAAAACAAACGGTAAAGGTAAAGCTCTCAATGTGAACATTTGGGTTTGTCTGAAAAAGGGGTGGCACAAACTCCTGATATGTCAATTCTAATGGGGAAAATGATCAGAATACATCATAATACACTAATTTTTCGCGTTTCACCCTCCCCGAGCTCATCCCAACAGCTGAGCTCCCCAACTTGAGAATCTCCGGGAACCAGATGTCCGAAGAGTTGACAGGTACCTCCCCACAGCCCCTGCCCTAGCCCGTGGCAATGCAGAAACATTTACCAGAATTTCACATACATAGCCATAATAATAGACCCATTTGTAAATATTATTGACATAATTTTACATATTCAACTGGGTCATTGGAAAGGGCCATGTTATGCCATGTTCCATGGCTATGTTGGAGTGCCAAAGAGATCTAAAGGGTAACTGGTTAACCAGGCCGCTGACCTTGTCGAGCTCGTGGCAGCCATGGGTAGGTTCCATGCGTCCTGTCATCGCTCCACTGGAAGATCTGAAATCACAGAAAGCCACAATATGTCGGAATCCGTTCCTGACTTCACCCGCACAAATCGGTCATCGGTCCCTTGGTTTTTCTCCATTTTTTGAGACTGGTGACCTGGTGCCTGGTTCTTTTTATGTTCTTTTAGGTTCTTGATATATAATGGCTAGCGGCTACTTAAGGCCGGTGGTGAGACGGCCGATCCATTCTGCTTCGCAGCTCAACGGCTGGGGTTGGGCCTGGAACTCGCCCCAACGGAGCGAAGTTCCGCGAAAGGTGACTGGATCGATTTGACGACAACGGAGGTTGGGCCCAACCCCAACTTGAAAGGCAAACAACCTTTCGCCCCGTGGCTTCCCATCGGGGAGACGTTCCAGCGCTCGGATGCCTGCTGCAGATTCTCTGCCAATCCTTATAATCCTTTTCGTGCTGAGGGAGACCATGAATCGAAAGAAACATCAAATAAATCATGTTTTACCTATGCCAACGTTAAGCACCCTGTAGATTTGGCTAAAAATAAATATACCCTTTAGCTAGTCCGTCTATTCCAGTATCTATGGCCCACAGCCCCAAAACAAAAGCTACTAACCTACCGTTCAATTCACAGAGGTTGACCTGCAAATTCTGACCTTCAAAAAATGCATATCTCGTCCGGTACTGAGCTGCGCCAACTTCGAGAATCAAACGAAACCACTATACATGGTCCACAATATCATCTATCTATCTATCTACCTATCTTTCTATCTGTCTCTGTATCTGTTTATTTATTTAACTATCTATCTATCTATCTATCTATCTATCTGATTTAACTGATCTATCTCATCTATCCAATCTATCTAATCTATCTACTCTATATCTAATCTATCTATCTATCTATCTATCGATCTATCTTTCTTTCTTTCTGATTTAACTGATCTATCTCATCTATCTAATCTATCTAATCTATCTACTCTATCTAACCTATCTAAACTATCTTATCTATCTTATCTATCGTATTTATCTATCTGTCTGTGTGTCTGTCTATCTATCTGTCTGTCTGTCTGTCTATCTGTCTGTCTGTCTGTTTATCTATCTATCTATCTATCTATTTATCTATCCATCCATCCATCCATCCACAGTATCTGTCTGTCTATCGATCTATCTATCCATCCATTTATGTCAATCTATATCAACCTATGGCAATCTATCTCATCATATGATCAGCACTATGTAAATATTAGATCGCTTCCAGGTTGCCAACATCAATCCTGCCAACATCAATCCTGGAAGACCTGTGCAGCTGGCAGCCTCAAGTCCAAGCGAGAAGTCGCGAGAAGTCACTGCAGCGCACCAGGCTGGAGATACTGAAGAACCTGGAGGTTGTGCCTGAAAATATCATGGCGACGGTCATTTTCGGAAAAAATTCCCATTGCCATCCATTGATTAATACCAAAACAAACATTAACCCCGTGCCAGATTAATCCATTCACCTACTATTAAGTACTATTCGAAGTTTTCACCATGTCGGGCAGCTTTGAGCCCACAGTACCCCAAGGGGGCCAAGAAATCTTTCGGGGGAACTGCCGAACCACCTCATCAAAAATCAACTACGGAATGTGTGTGTGTGTGTGCACGTGTAATTAATTGAGCTAGAGAAAGAGGGAGAATGAACCAACATGAAATAGATCAGTGGGAATGGGGATTCACTGTCTTCTCAACGCTTTTAAGACATGCCTGGCTTCAGCAGCTGTACAAGCCGCAGCATTGACTCTTTAAATTCCACTTTGGCCCGTGGCCAGTAGACCACACGGCCGAAAGTCTTCCAGTCGATAGCTGAGGATGACCCAAATGGCGCCAAATCGTGCTGTAGCCAAGAAACATACTACCCATTGGCTTCTCTGATGTTTGGACCCTTCTTGACAATAAATTCAAGCTGATGCTTGTTGCACCTTTCAAGGCTTAATTCAGTCATGGCAGGTCATCTCAGCTGTTGGAAGCATCGAGCATAGACTGGGCATACACACATCCAATGGTACATGTCCAATATTTTCCAATGGTACATGACACACATCCAACCTCCTTATGTGGAGAAAGGTGCTTCCCTTCTCCAGCACTTGGAATTTCAAATTTGGGCCTGCTGAAATGGACCTGGAACATCCAAAGAACACATTCCCGAAGAATCTTGGAGACGTTTAGCATGGGTGGAAACTGTGCCAGAATTTCTATATATATATGTGTGTGTGTGTGTGTGTGTGTCGTGTCATGTCATGTCATGTCATGTCATATCATATCATATCATATCATATCATGTATGTATGTATGCATGTGTGAAATTATATATAATACCGTATATTTAATTATATTTATATTTACATCAATCACCCCCAGAAACACGAATGATTCGACGGTTCTACTGTACTGTGTGGTCTTTTCTCTACCACGGCTGGTCCAGGGAAGCACCTCAAGCGTGGCCATGAGGAAGCCTCAGCCGGTCTGTTTGATGGATATAAATGGGATGAAACGTATCAAAATGCTAGAAAAAATGATATAATGGGGATAAGTGTGTACAAATATAGTTGAGAGGGGACTTAATTACTAGTATGTACAAGCAGTTTCACACAGTTTCATGGTGTTTCATGCTAGTGTGCGCTATTATGTGCAATTGTGTGCTAGTGCTGACCTGCAGTGCATTTCAGAAAAGGTTCCCAGAACTCATGCCAGGGCACAAATGCCGCTCATCGTAGTCGCCAAACTGCTTGCCGCCAGGATGTGCTGTAAAGAATGGAGGTTTGTCCTCCACAGGAGTGCACCAGGAGCGATGCCACATCATGCACAACTGCAAATTGCAGCGAAACGGGGACAAAAAATGCGTTTCGAGTGAAACGCTTGGCCACCCTAGATCATTCTCTTCTGATATGCTTAACTAAAAAACCTATGAAAATGTTGGTCCTCTCACATGCACCGCCTTTCCATCGCCATCCCCTCCCCCAACTGCCCCAACCGCCACACCCGAATCTTGGGAAGCTCCACGAAATCGCTCCGAAGGTCCACCGGGTGCTCGGGAAATGGGATGCCAACGTGGACACTGGAGGGCGCGGGCTTCTCTTTGTTCCCTGCAGCGCGGAAGTCCAAGGGCGACGACCGCGCCATCTTGGAGAGTTTCGCCTGGCCATGCCATGAAAGGTTGATGGAAGCAAATATGCCTCAAAACTGCCAGAAAACCTTGGATCAAAGCGAATCTGGGGTTCATAAATGCTTACAGATGTTGCATCCAGCATCAATCAAAACTCCGACTCCTGGTGTCGTCCCAGTCCTGCATCCTCTGGTCCCTCTCCAAGGCGTCGTAGGGTCCAGTCGCCTGGATACTTCCTGCACGGGCCGAAGCGAGATGGGTCCCTCAAACTCAACACATGACATGGGATGACAGATTCTGACAGTGATCCTGCTCAGGCTGCAGTTTGAATCAAACAAGTTCCGGCGAAATATGGATATAGTTGCGTATGGCGTATGTATGTATGTCTGTCTGCCTGCCTGCTGCCTGCCTGCCTGCCTGCTGTATGCATGTATGCATGTATGCAGGTATGCACGTTTGCACCTATGCACGCATGCACGTATGCAAGTATGTACGTATGCACGTATGTGCGTATGTATATATATATATATCTGTGTGTGTGCGTATGTATATATATATATGTGTGTGTGTGTATCTATCTATCTATCTATCTATCTATCTATCTATCTATCTATCTATCTATCTATCTATCTATCTATCTATCTATCTATCTATCTATCTATCTCTCTCTCTATCTATCTATCTATCTATCTATCTCTCTCTCTATCTCTATCTATCTATCTATCTATCTTTCTTTCTTTCTTTCTGATTTAACTGATCTATCTCATCTATCTAATCTATCTAATCTATCTACTCTATCTAACCTATCTAAACTATCTTATCTATCTTATCTATCGTATTTATCTATCTGTCTGTGTGTCTGTCTATCTATCTATCTGTCTGTCTGTCTGTCTATCTATCTATCTATCTATCTATCTATCTATCTATCTAATCTATCCATCTATCCATCTATCTATCTATCTATATCTATATCTATATCTATATCTATATCTATCTATCTATCTATCTATCTATGTATCTATGTATCTATGTATCTATGTATGTATCTATGTATCTATGTATCTATGTATCCATGTATGTATGTATGTATGTATGTATGTATGTATGTATGTATGTATGTATGTATGTATGTATGTATGTATGTATGTATGTATGTATGTATGTATGTATGTATGTATGCATGGATGTATGCATGGATGTGTGTATGTATGTACGTATGTGTAAAGACATGAGATATGTACATATGTATCATATGCCATCATATGTCTTGAGTCTTGAATATGCAGCCGGAATTGGATGCAACCAAGACTCTATACATGTTGGCTGCTTTAACATTCGCCTCGCCATCCGGCGTTCAAGATCAATGCAGCGCATCTTCGCATCAAAAAGCAAAACGCCACAACCGGCCACAACAAACGAGCCCTAAAACATGTTCAAAAAAAGTGTTGTTTTTGAAGTCGAAAGATATCAAAAGGTAATGTTCACGGGTTGGTGGTTTCAGCCCCCTGAAAAGTATGCTCGTCATTGGGGATCATGTTTGAAACCACCAAAAAACGCAGTGTTTCTGGGTTTTCACTCCCCAAGATGGCGACTCTGGGCCGAATCTCGGCGCTCAGCCCGGCACCACTTCGATCTGTTCCTTCGACCTGAACGGCCCTTGGTTTTTCTGCAGCCGACCTGAACGGGGGGGAGAACCCATCGAAGGAATATCTAGGAATACCTAGGACCAGAACTACATAGCACAGCACCCCCTCAAAAAAAAGGGAGGAAAGCAGTACTAGCCTAGGTTGTCATTGTTTGTCATTTTTTATCATGGTGTTTCTGTATCTTGGGCGCCCCTGCCGGAGCTGGCTGCGCGTGAGAAGTGTGGCGCTCTATTTGGCAAGTCTTGTGGAGGCATGGCGCCTTCATCCTGTGACATCTCGGCCTCGAGAACGGTCCAACGTCAGACAGCAATGGATCCATATGTTGCTGCCATCATAACATGGGTATTGATATGTATTGATGCTATTCAATGCTATTCGGTATTAGGATGTATTTGGGACCTTAGGATTTTTCTAAGATTTGATGAGCCAAGATCTACCCTCTGGTAATTTAACATACTGTAGCTATTGAACATGGCCATTTATAGTGGATTTTCCCATCAAAAATGGTGATGTTCCATAGTTATGTTAGTTTACCAGAGGGTAAAAGATTCCAAACATTCCAAACATCCGCTGCCTGAGACATCCCAAAGCGCGCTGACCGGGTGGTGCTCGCGGACTTGTGACGTGCCCTGGACTTCACGGATCTTCACGGGGCCAACTCAGATCCCTTCCGACAATGCATAGATATCCAGGTTGTAACCTACAAATGACCTACAAATGACCTACAAATCTAGCCCCAAAATAAGTTAAGATAGTTGAGATATGTTGAGATTAAGGACCTATTGTTGAAACTTCAAGTTGAAACATCGATCCCAATCCTATCCCATTCGCCTCTTCAAGGACGCAGGGATTTTTGCCTTGGCCATGGCAGAGGAGCTGTGAAAGAATTGTGCATCCTGCAGGTCCTGCATCTCATGTTCTTTCAATGCCTCAAGTTTCTCAAGATATGGGATCTACCCCCATCATATACATGGCAATGTTCTCTATGTTCTCTAGAACAGTAATAATACTCATCGATAAACTGCTGATCATCCTGCAAGTTTGATGGATTTGTGATTTGTGTTCCAAATTTTGAGACCATCCCAGTTTCAAGTCCACTTTTCGAACCCATTTCAGGCCAGTCGCAAGGCAAGCATCGCGCAGGTGCTCTTCGATGGGTTTCTCAAAGGCCCGAGGCAGCAGGTCGCTGTAGGGCGGATTGTAGACACCTGGCGTTGGCAGGGCTGGCAGGATGGTAGAAACATGTAGAAACAAAATGAAACAAAGAAACTTCCGAAATGGTCAGGTGATGTCAGGTGACTCTTTGGGATGGCCAAGTTGCCAACCCTTGGGCCCTGATCTTCATGGCCCTCGGCATCTTATCAGTTCAGTTCCGCCTGGGATGGTTTTGGTACTCATGAGGTGGTGCAAGTCGCCGGCCAAATGGTCAAACCTTAGCCAAAAAGTGATGCCAACAGTCTCTTGACATCCTGGAGGCAATCCACTATTTAGTGGACACTATTCAGTATCGTTCTGCACTGATCAGAATGGCTAGAGTCATATCCCATCATATCTTCAATTCTTTTTCTCTCAATTCTCGGAATTGGTTCAAGTGAATATTCACGGGAAACCTCGATATTTGATGAGATGGTATCTTTCTCCATCATTTTTCCCGTCAACCAATCCATCATTGCACATCTCACGCCAAGCTGCTCCTCTTTCACCCTTTGCTCCTCCTGAATTTTGGCTGCTGCCATCTTCTCCTCCGGGGACTCGCACGTGTCACGAAAGTCGATGCTAGTCGATGTTGATGTGTATGTTTCTCGCGTTTCTATCATTAAAGTACAACAAATATCCAGAAATGTGAGCCACAAACCCTAACATCCCCAGCCAGTCTGAACTGTCGACACCAGAAATCAGCTCCTTGTGTTCTTCAGCGAGGTACTCTTTGGTCCATTCACCACGCTTCTCGACCTGGACAGGCCGCTGTCAAAAATGTCATCTTTGCCCGGCCCAAAACTCAGGGGCTTCTCCCGCCTTCTCCAAATAAATCTTTCGGCCATAGAAGCTGTGCACCCGCTTGCGGCTCCATCGGCCACGGTACATCCGCTGAATGGTACACGCCTCGGTGAAGGGCGATCTGCTCAAAGCTGGGGCCTATTTGTCTTTTGGCAAAAGAAGTTAGTGATACCAAGTGATTTTGAAGTGATCGAAGTGGGATGCCATTTGGTCTGATTGGTGTTGTCTGATTCCAGGCCAAAAAAAAGGGAGCTCCCGCCTTGGGCGCAAGCGACACAATTTCTCGCGTTACTGGGAATCTCTGAGGTGGCAACACAGTGATGAAAGAACTTCAATCTCAGTTGGTTGTGTCCTGTCTGAGCCACAGTGGGACTTCATATTCCGCAGCCAAAAAACATGCCTCATCTGACGTTCTAAACTATAGGTCATGGAATATGGACTCATAATTTTTCACACACCCCAGATGTAAGAAAATTGAAGATTCTGGAAAATGTCGCTAGTCATACAGCCCTATCGTTGTTGGCTATGGGTCAAAAGTGACCACTGTACCAAAAATTGAAAATTGGGCATGAGAGGCCAAAGCGGCGGGGCTCTCAAATGTTGACCCACACACTGCAGTACAGGAAAGTACTGGTTATGCAATCGGATGTTCATTAAAACACTCATTTTTTGAGAATCGGTCAAAACAGTCAAAACATGTCTAAAGTCCCAAGTCATAGTTAGTATAATATTATATATATAATTATACAGGTAATTGTCCAGGCTATTTACAGGGAAGGCCCAGCTAGCCATGTTTGATTGCCCATGAAATCCCCATTGAATCCCATTATATAAATCCCCATTGAATCCCATGAAAACTCTGTAAAATCCTTGAAAAACCCTATAAAACCCCTATAAAATCTATAAAATCCCTATAAAATCCCATGAAATTCCATCTTCCTTCCGTGAAGTCCCAACGGCAACGGCAACGGCAACGGTCGCCTTCTTGGCTCACCTTCTGCGCCTTCTTGCGGCCCAGACAGCCGCGCACCATGCGCTGGATGAGCCGCGCCTGTGATCAGACGCAAGTTCCACATATAACAAGAGCATAACTATTACTAAACTCTAAGGTATATTACTATTTTGTGTATATTGTGTATATATATATAATGTAAATGATAATGATGAAAAATAACAACAACAATAATAACAAGGAGAAGTATATAATAATAAACATAATAATAGTAATAAGGAGAAGTAATAGTAACAATGATGATAATAGTAATAAGAAGAGTAAGAATAATGATGATAATAACAGTAGGAACAATAAGAATAATAAGAATATATAATAAGAATCAGTAGTAATCAATCATAGCAATAAGAAGAATTTATGATGATGTACTGTGATCAATGATTACAGTCAATTATCCAACAATATAATATTGATGATTGCTATCAGTACAGTAATGATGATGTACTAGAATGACATTGCGTCATTATATCTAATAATCTAATATCAACTATCCACATGTAACACCAATTGTGGTACCACATTTATCGTACTCCTATCATCAACAGGAAAAGGTGTATGTAACTTATACCATCTATACGTGTAATGCACTGTAATGAGCATGGTTGACTATGATCACCAGATTCCTCACCATTGCCGTTCCTGTATATTCCAAACCGGCGTACAAGCCATGTGTGTTGTGACGCTGTCTATGGTACCTGCCAGACCTGAAAGCCAACCCCTGGCGAGCCCGGCGCACCGCTGCAACCACTTCGTGATAGATGATCCGAATTTGTGTGGCACGGTGCACTGATTGGATCTTGGTGACGGCCGCCACCTGCCCATGGCCAAAAAGCCGAAGAAAAGTCATCTGGGCGGCCCATGAAACCCATGAATCACCATGAAACTACAATGGTGGTATGTTGCGTGAATGAATTTGCATGACACGACATGCCTTTTTACTTTTTATAATACCTGTACTCCAGTTCAAGACCATCCATTTTAAGCGAGTACCATCTCAGAAACAGCCCCACCTCGAGAGGTAGGGAGTCACTGGCATCTTGCGTACGGGCGAAGAAGTTCTTCACCACCTGGCAGGATTCGACAACCGCTATGTCCCCTGCCAGCCAGCCGGAGCCAACAAGTACCAAATCAGTGATACATCATGATTAGTACAAAAAAATATTCTCCACCCAGTCCTCCGCATTTTTCCCATCAAGTAGGGCATAGTATAGCCATAGCACGCTGACCCAAGAATCGTCCATGGTTTCCTCCCAATCGCCCAAGCCAACTGGGGCACCTCGTCCTTTCTGGCCTCCATTTCAAAGAAGTGGGCCATGCCTCAGCACATCACACCACATCACAAGGAAAACATTGTCAAACTATGTCAAGCTCCCCATATCTCCCCATCCTCTCAGCTTTCCTCAAAAACAACTTGTGGTGACAGCGTATGGGTATGGTTCAGTCATCCAGTTGTGGCCCAGTTGGGGCTCAAAATGCACCCCAAAATCAAGCTTCAAGATATGTAAAGACTCATCTTTCCCATTGAAATAGGGGTTTGTAATATGGTGATTTATGGCTGGCGAGCCAAGCTACGAGGCCACGCGCCCACAGCCAGGCGCCTGGACATCGAGAAGAATCGTCAATGATCATGTGCTGTATAATGCTGTATACAATAATTAGGACCTATACTACGACACATGCATGCATATAACATATAAATGCATAGTCTCAAATTATATGATTATATGTGATCATTCATTCTGTATCATTGCGACGTCATTGCATATCACTGGGGGCCCACGCTTGCAATGCAGAATGCCCGACTAGAACAACGCTGGCATCACCTGGGGGTAGCCGGGAAATCCCCTACAAATGGAGATTCAATGAAAAACTACTGGGAGGATCATCAAAAAAAAGCGTGAAACACCAGAGGATACCAAGGAATATCATCTATGGCCAGTGAAAATGCCTCCGTTTGCACGCTTTCCTCGAGCACCAAAAAGAACAGGTAGCACGAGTGCATGACATGAAGTGGCCTGATGATGTTGTTGAGCTGTGGGTGATAACTTTCCACAAACTTCACTAAAACCCATGACTCGCCATGATCACTCATGGCCAAGGTGCTCCCAGCAGAATTCCAGTTGCTTAGCAAAACTGGAGCCTCAAATGGCTGCAGAGCACATAGAACTGTGGCAACCTGTCCGCGTCGTACGCAGGGTGCACAGCAGTAAGCCTAATCTATGTGTTCAAAAGGCTTTTGTGAAACTACTAATTCCATCCCCCCATCACTATGATATACAATAAGGAACCCGAAAATGAATAGATCCAGTGCTCAAGTGCTCATGATTTTTAAGATGGTATCTAATATTCGTAGTGTCTGGGAGACAGGATTACTATACCACCTGCAGCATCTTTGCAGCTCCTCTGCCTGAAGTCTGGCGACAACCACCTTGAAGTGAGAAACCAACGTAGGAAAGCTTGCGAAAACATGAGTCAATCCCTTGGGTATGGTAATTTCACCAACTAATATGGGCATATCATGGGAATATGTGAATAATATTGAATAATATAGTTATAGTTGATGGGCATACCATTTCTTCTGGCTAGTCAGTCCTTTATAGATCTTTATAGTCCTTCTTTTTTGTCATCAACATGGAAAATACTGGCAAATCAACAAAATGATGTCCCCAGAAATGGCACGCGCTGTAAAAGCCCCAAGCAACAGCCAGTAGGCGCTGGCACTGCTCACACGATGTCCAATCGAAGGTACATAATGTATCAGAATGTAATGTTGGAAAAACAATGCCATAAACCACCCCCAATTTCACCACCCCCATCAATGTACATCCTTTAAGGCCACCGCTTGCATAGTGCATCTCGCGTAAAGACTGAGGTTCCCAGACCTACGCGCGAGATGAAGCCACTGGTTTCCCCTCTTCAGCTGAAGTGTCTGAAACATTCTGAAACCCCTGACCAATATTGACCAATTACTTTCCCATGAGTTGGGAATTTCAAACCTGCATTCCAATGGTTTCAACATGTTTCGACATGTTTCAACAGTATCCGCCAGGAAGGGCCTGGAACTTCCGCCCGTTCACTGAGCCGCCCTTCACTCGCAACCCTTTCGATGAGGAGAATCTGTTGCGCTGCAACACCTCGGGGTGTTGAAATGTGGAAGTTATGGTCATCCCATGCCATCCCCAGACATCCCATGGAGATCCTGGTGAGTTTAACAACTGGCCACTCTTTTTGTTTACCCTCTGGTAAACTAACATAGCACCAATTTTTTGCCAGGAAGGCCTCAGCGATGATCAGCACTAGCAAGACTATCGTCAAAAAGAAACGTGAGACTGTGACAGATGATCGGTGCCTTTGGCAACACCGGATTGCGATTGAGGGTCTCCGCGCATCATTCAAATCCAATTTAAAAATCAGTCAAAACTGCTACGCTGGAATACAGATCAGCGTCACTCTAGTCGTCACTCTTCTTTGTACAACTTCGTCACCACTTCCTTAAAGTCTTCAAGTGTCCATTACACTTTGCCCGGATGCTGTGACTCATCGTAAAATATCGTAAACCCAATTAAAGGCTTGAACATCATCAAAGTGTTTTCCACCCTCACCTCTGCTGAAGAGCGTCAAGCACATCTGAAACAAAATTCTGAAACATGGGATTGTTGAGGACGCCACCCTGGTCCGAGAAGAGGCGACTCACCATTTCATCGACTTGGAAATGTTCGGAGAAGTCAAAGCCATCATTTGCATCCGGCTCCTCGGGTTCGTCTGATTCAACTTCCACTCGTGTAGGATCATCTTTGATGTCAAAATTTCCACCATCATCAGGGCCTGGAGAGAAATTCACATTCGTCAGCCCAGTAATATCCAGTAATGGCAAACTGCTGGCCCATTTTGAAGTCTGTGCATCCTACATAATCAGATTAGCCCACATAGCCGTAGCCATTTTCTCCCCATCCTTCAGCAGTTTCGGATGATGAAGACCTGCTGGCGACCAGGTGTAGCTCACCATCTGATGTTGCAATGAAGCCACCGGGCGCTGGACCAAAGATGATGCGGGCTTAAAGTCCTTGGTCCTCGCAGGCTCTTCTGCAAGGTCTGTCCGGCCAAGTGTGGGGGCAAGGGATCTGCAGTTTTCAGTTTTGCCCCCACCCCTGACTCTGCGCTGACGCCTGTTGGCAGGCAGGACCTGCTTCAATGCCACCTTCACTTTCTCGCTCTCTTCAGGCGTAAAGTCGGCAACAACCTTTTGGAGGTCGGCCACCCTTGCCTGCTGCACTTGTGATGCAAAGGATGATCTGCCAGACCCCATGGCGACCAGAAGATAACCAGCAGATGCTTGCGACAAATCTTGAGCCAAATATTTTGCCATGTGGGCACAAGATGATAAAAAGGAAATACACAACTTAACAACTGGGCATACTGGGTTTTAGAAAATGGGTGGGACACTCTGGTAAACTGCGGTGCACACCATCGAATGCGTTCCTCCGAAAACGTGAGATTAACAGCCTATGTCGCATAATATTGCTTACGCTAGACCTTACGATATGCTTACGCGACCGGGCATGTACATAAAATGACTTACGCGAAGCTTACGGTGACAGGTTCGACTTAAAACGCATAGGAATTGCTTTCGCCAGAGGCATGAAACAGCTTACGCCAGGGCTTAAGCATGGTATTTTGCAAAAGTGGTTTATGCCACCTTACCAAACCCAGGGTTTTGTTTATTCTTAAAGTGCATTCAGGGAGGTTCTGACGATGCTCAAATGCACTCTGCAGAGGCTCTATATATAATTGCCAATGGTGGTAATATTCCCCAACATGGATCAATCTAATCCAACTTTTGACCCTGGCACCAATGCTATGCTGCAGCCCCAGTAGCGTGCTGCGGCCGCGGAGAAGCTTGAGTGTAACCAGCCATGGCATTCCAGCTCCTGTGCCTGCGGCCAAGATACTATGCCCATAGTAGAGTACATCCGCAATATATGTTCATGCGTGTATAAGTCTATGAGTGTGTGTGTGTATGTGTGTGTATGTGTGTATGCATGCATGCATGCATGCATGCATCTATGCATCTATGCATGCCTGCATGTCTGCATGTCTGCATGTCTGCATGTCTGTATGTCTGCATGTCTGCATGTCTGCATGTCTGCATGTGTGTGTATGTCTGTATGTCTGTATGTCTGTATGTCTGTATGTCTGCATGTCTGCATGTCTGCATGTCTGCATGTCTGCATGTCTGCATGTCTGCATGTCTGCATGTCTGCATGTCTGCATGTCTGCATGTCTGCATGTGTGCATGTGTGCATGTGTGCATGTGTGCATGTCTGCATGTCTGCATGTCTGCATGTCTGTATGTCTGTATGTCTGTATGTCTGTATGTCTGTATGTCTGTATGTCTGTATGTCTGTATGTCTGTATGTCGTATGTCCGTATGTCCGTATGTCCGTATGTCCGTATGTCCGTATGTCCGTATGTCCGTATGTCTGTCTGTCTGTCTGTATGTCTGTATGTCTGTATGTCTGTATGTATGTCTGTATGTATGTATGTATGTATGTATGTATGTATGTATGTATGTCTGCATCTCTGCATGTGTGTGTATGTCTGTATGTCTGTATGTCTGCATGTCTGCATGTCTGCATGTGTGTATGTCTGTATGTCTGTATGTCTGTATGTCTGTATGTGTGTATGTCTGTATGTATGTATGTATGTATGTATGAATGAATGAATGAATGAATGAATGAAGGAAGGAAGGAATGAGTGAACGAACGAACGAACGAACGAATGAATGAATGTCTGTCTGTCTGTATGCATGCATGCATGCATCTATCTATCTATCTAAATATCTATCTATCTATCTATCTATCTATCTATCTATCTCACCTCTCTATCTATCTCTATCTCTATCTCCATCTCTATCTCTCTATCTATCCATCTATCTATCTATCTATCTATCTAATCTAATCTAATCTAGTCTAATCTAATCTAATCTATATAATCTAATCTATCTATCTATCTATCTATCTTCTATCTATCTATTTTTGTATCTATATCTATATCTATAGCTATCTATCTATCTGTCTGTCTATCTATCTATCTATCTACCTACCTATGTATCTATTTATCTATGTATCTATCTATCTATCTATCGATCTATCTATCTATCTACCTATCTATCTACCTATCTATCTATCTATCTATCTATCTATCTACTGTATCTATCTACAGCATCTGCCTATCTGAATCTATCTACAGCATCTATATCTATATAATTCTATATATCTATCTACAGCATCTATATCTATATCTATCTATCTACAGCATCTATATCTATCATCTATCTACAGCATCTATCTATCTATCTATCTACAGCATCTATCTACAGCATCTATATCTATTTATCTATCTACAGCATCTATATCTATTTATCTATCTATCTACAGCATCTATCTATCTATCTATCTATCTACAGCATCTATATCTATCTATCTATCTATCTAGTCTATCTATCTATCTATCTATCTATCTATCTATCTATCTCTATCTCTATCTATATCTATATCTACCTGTCTATCTATCTATCTATCTGTCTATCTATCTATCTATCTATATCTATCTATCTATCTATCTATCTATCTATCTATCTCTATCTCTATCTATATCTATATCTCTATCTATATCTATATCTATATCTATACCTGTCTATCTATCTATCTGTCTATCTATCTATCTATCTATCTATCTATATATGTATCTATGTATGTACCTATGCTGACAAGCATACCATGGCTCACCATCTCTTGAAAACTCATCCCACCGAAATCCGAGATATTCGAAATCTGTTTCAAGCCATCGAAATCTGCCGGAAAATCTCAGAACTCTTTCGGTGGTTCCCTTCATTTCCTTCACAGCTCTTCCCGCGCACCGCGAGGAGTACATGGCGTGCTTCAGCAGCTCTCAGAAATGAGAGTTGATCCAAGAGCCTGGGCCTGCCGTTGAACAACTTCACATTGCTGACTTCGAAACATGCCAAATTGGACCTGTTGAACCTGTTGGACATGTCCCAGAAATTCTTCAAGGATAGTCCCGCAAACAGGGACAGAAGTCAACCCATGATGAAGATAAAGATCCGAACGAACAAAAAAAAGCTTCCAAGACACTTCCACAAAACTCAACCACCCGTTCAATAGATATGTCATTCGGTACCACGGGCGCCTGAAACTCAACTGCAAATCTTCACAGGCAGTGAGACTTCTCAAGCTGACAGAGTCGGGTTGCAACTTCAGCTCGCCTCAATCATCCATCAGAGGGGCCCAGGTGGGGCTCCAGGTGGGGCTCCAGGTGGGGCTCCAGGTGGTTCCCACCCCTCGAAAAGGTGTTGGTCCAAAAAATCTATGGTTCTAAACACTTCCAAACAGTTCCGAACAGTTGCATCCTTAGAGTCAATCTGCCTACAACCACTGGGTGCTCGTATCTCAACGTCCTGTGGCTGAGGTTGACACCCAGCCAATCCAGCAACATCAGGGCCTTGCAAAGCAAGTTTCCAGACAATGAATAATACCTTAACGCACACACTGACCTTTGCTGCATCGACGAAGTCTCAGCAGGCTGCCCGCTTTAAGAGAATTCAGACGAGCACTTCGTTGAAGCTGGTGATACATCAATAACAGGAGCTAGATATAAACACAGGAAGCTAGTCACTAGAACTGACCGTAGGGCTTTGCCCTACCACATGAATTCAGGTGCAGAAATCAAGGATGTCGGCATCATCAAATGCCTGGTCATCTACCTTTACATCAGAATCATCAGAGTCACTGTCACTCAGAGCATTGTCGGCTCTTTGCCAGGATTTGATTTGGGGCTTCGCTGCGAATCCAAAATTCTTCTTTGTTTGGGTCATGTACCCATTTTTGACCAAATGATGGTAGCAGCCCACCTGCAGGGAGGAAACATGTGGTTAAAACAGGTTCAATCACCCAGCTGGGCTCATCCTTGAATCCACACTCCACTCCAAGCATATGGATCTTCATGGTACAAGATGTACAAGTTTCAAGGGTGTCTCTGATTCTCTGTGCTAACAGGGCCACCTGGTTCTCACAAAAGTTTCCCAACTTCCCCCGACCTTGGCCACGGGATCTAAAATGAGCCAATGGCCCAGGCCCTTTCTCTTTGCTGCCTCGCTGCCGGACCTGCTCCTCACAAATTTCAGACCGTTGTAAAGCCGCACCTGCCATGGCGAAGCTACGGGAAAACCTTAGAGATTTCAAACTCAATGGATCCAGCAACAAGAGGTTTCCTCTATATAGGTGGTACCCCCAGTTTTCATCCATTTTAACAGCTGGGTACAGCTTTTTTTTTCCATCTATATATTTCCCATGAAAATCATCCATCAACACATATCCAGTAAATTAACATAGACCCTGGCAGTCATCGGGGTTGGTTCAGATTAGTTTCCTCTAAAAAATGGTGGATTTTCAGGGTCCAACTGTGAATTTACCAGAGGCTATCCATCCATACCTTGGGGCCTGACGATGGTAGGCATTCACCTGCACAGTGTCGCCATAGAACTCGGTCCAGAGCTCGGTGGCGCGCCGCGAAATCTTCCTGGGACCATGCTGCCATGAAATCTGCCATTTGCCGCATGAAAAATGGCGGTTTTAATCATGTTTTAAGAGTTTACCATGGAGATGTTGGAAGTTACTATCAAAATCTATCAAAACATTGGGATGTTAGCAACTGTTAGCATGGGGATTTCAGCATAAAACATGGGGAAATTAACAGGATTAGCCTGATTTAGCCATCAAAAGTTGAGAACCGTTAAAATGGTATGTTTTTATATATGTTTGATCATGAAAAATTGGGATTTAACAATCAAAACTGGGCATGTGGGTATGACCATTGAGTGCACTCGTTGGAATGACAAGATGGGGCAATAATTGTGCCCATTCCCACCAATTGCCTCCAAAAAAGAATCTGGCAACAAGTTGACATGGATCAAACATGTCGAAATTGGATACCCGTTCGAGGGCTTAATTCTATGCCACAAATGATTAAAACACGTAAAAACTGCTGTTTTCGGAGCGAGTCGAAGGTCTCTTGACCCATTTCGTCGTCGGTGGTTTCCCCCATAAAAAATCCATAAAATTGCTCCACCAAGTGGCCGAATGTCGGTGTCCTCAGAGAATCCCACCTGCATGATGGCATGTTTGGGTTTCCCCTTCACCTTGCTCCGCAGGGTGACCACGCAGTACGGAACGCCCAAAGCTTTCATGGCAGAGGCACAGACGATGCAGTGCCCTGCACAGTTGGCATAGCCACGATCCCAGATGTTGGAAGCATAGGTGACAGGCTTATTCCTCGGATTGCCAAATGCTATTTCCATCTTCTGCAATGGTGTACTCGTTTTTCCACCAAAGTGAATGGAAATGAACCCTCGGATGTGAAAAATCCAATTGATTATCCTGGGTTCCACTCCTTTCAGAGGACAATGCGTTCAAAAAGAGAGCCTGGCTGAGAGTTCTAAGCAACTGGCTGTTGTGGAGATGCTTCCATCTGGCTGCGTGCTGTGTTCCATCCAGAAAATGGAGTAGTCATCCCCTCGAAAATTGACTCGACTTCAAGTCGTTTCCCTTATTTTTCTAAAAGTCCTTCAGCCAAAGCCCCATTCTCATTGCCAAGTTTCAAGCCACGTTTCCCAGCTTCCCGTTGTATCGTGACCTGAGCAGTGTCAAATACCTAAATCCACCAGCTGGGCTCAAATAGAAATTCCCAAATGATGGACTATGACTAGAGGCCCACCCATCGTTTCTCAACTCAGCATGTGTCCCCATGGTTAAAGCCCCTACAAGGTAGTAAATCCACCAAAAGATTGTTATGAGTTCCCATGAAACAGCAACACACCACATTTCACCATCTTTCCAATCATCTCTGGGAATCTCCAAGGGGTTTATGCATGTTTATGGCAATTCCACCCCATTTTCCCATCATTTCGGGTCCCCACCGGCCCAGGCCCCACCGGGGCCCCACCGGGGCCCCACCGGGCCTTTCCCTTTTCGTAGCGGATCTGCCCCGCCATCTGCCGCTGCAGCACGAAGAGCTGCTCGATGAGCTCCAGGCCTTGGAGCTTCGTCTGCAGCGCAGCAGGGAGAAATCCATCACCTCACCGGACGGCACCGGAGCCAGGGCCTGGAACTGTTTGTTTCAAGTCATATTTTTGGTCTAAAAAAATGCGATTTTTGCAAGGTTTCATAGAATTGCGTGTGCAATTCTTTGCAAGGTTGCATAAAAATGTATTTACTATGTGCCAGCAACAAGAATTGGCTATCAACCATCAAACTGGTTACGACTCACCAAGAATTGATTATGGACCATTCAATCTTGGGGGTTTACTTATGTAAAATCGGAGTGGGGGTGGATCAAAACCTGTGCCTTTCCCAAGCGAATGCGGTGATGAACATCCCCTATGCACCAACATGCACCAACTATTTTGGTGTGCAAACAAGGGTATCATGATCCCGGCCACATCTAAAAAGTGCTGATCTGATAGATGCCCCTGAAACGCAAGGAACCAGCCCCAATCAATCATATAAAAAAAATCAGGGTTGATAATCATGATTTCATGATTTTTATTCTTGAAACCTCCTCCAAAACAAAAACATAAAAGAATCTATGGTGATCTATGGCAAGAATCAATGGTGTTGATGGTGTCACATGTTGCAAATGCAGAACCATGCGTCATCATCATCATCATCAAAAAAACATTAAAAAAACATCAAAATCGTCAAAAAAAAAACATCAACGTCATCAAACAACCGAAAAAACATCAAAAACATTGAAAGTCATCACCATAACCATCCCACTCGGTTTTAACACATGCCCTAGGCACCGATGTAGCACCCGATGTTTCGTCCCCACGAGGCATCCTCGCGCCACTTGGCCGCGATGCGCGGCTTCGCCAAAGCCGCAGGGGATGGACTCGGCCCCTGGGGACATGAATAGCAATGTGTACATGACATGTTAACATCAATGGTTCATGATAGGTTAACATCAATGATGTGTTAACGGTAGTCAATGATCATTTGTATGTGCTGGTGGTATGGTATATGCATCATTGATCATCATTAAGAATAATGTTGAGAAGCCAAACTTCCGACAATATGGACAGATGAAAAGCAGAGATGGGAAGAGTCAGAGAAGAGAAGAAAAGAGAAGAGAAGAGAAAAAGAAAGAAGAGCAAAGAAGAGAAAGTCAGAAGAAAGAAGATGCAGGTGCGCGAAAAAGTAGGAAAGTCGCGAAACATTGCCTTTTTCCAATGATTTGTGGCTCCGGGGGTTGGAAAAGTAGGCTCCCTAAAGCAGCGGGTGCAAAGCCATCTGGCCAGATGAGAGATGAAAAATTGCACGCCGTTGTGGCGCGAAGCACATTTCCAAGTCAAAATGTACAAACCACCTCAGCTTCGGACCACTTTTGGAAGTTGAGATGTCCAAAAAGTGCACGCCGTTGTTGCGCGAAGCACATTTCCAAGTCAAAACGTGCAAAACACTTCATGTTCGATCACTTTTGGAAGTTGAGATGTCTAAAAAGTGCACGCCGTTGTTGCGCGAAGCACATTTCCAAGTCAAAATGCACAAAACACCTCATGTTCGGACCACTTTTGGAAGCTGAGATGTCCAAAAAGTGCACGGCGTTGTGGCGCGAAGCACATTTGCAAGTCAAAATGTACAAAACACCTCATGTTCGGACCACTTTTGGAAGCTGAGATGTCCAAAAAGTGCACGGCGTTGTGGCGCGAAGCACATTTGCAAGTCAAAATGTACAAAACACTTCGGTCTCGGAGCACTTTTGGAAGTTGAGATGTCCAAAAAGTGCACGCCGTTGCGGCACGAAGGACATTTCGAAGTCAAAATGTACAAAACATCACATGTCCGCGCCACGTTTGGATGTTGAAGCGTCGTTTTGTGTGGCAGGCGCAAGGGATTCTCCACCCTGCCACAAGCGAGCAAAACGTCAGGGTTTTGTGGCATTTCCAAAAACGATGGCGGGCGTGGGACATTTGAAGAAGATCTGCAAAGATGCATTTCGCGTGGCAGGGCGCAGTACACGAGACATGTTTATCAGAGATGTTAGGAGGTTAGGGCGCTGATTTCCTGAGAGGGGTTGCATTTTGGAGCCTCCGATCTGTAGGTTTGATGAGATGATTTTGCGTGATAGGTGCAGCACTTCGTATGACCTGGCATCAATTTTACGTGGCAGGCGCAATATATTCTAGAATGTTCTAGATAGGTGGAATGGAAAAAAACAACGCAAAACGCATTGGTACGAGGCCGTCAGGTGTGCACTCAACTTTCCATTTTTGAAGGATGTCTCGCATAATTGCTTCGTTCTTGATGTTGTCAACTTGAAAAATTGGGGAAGTCTCTTAGATGGGATGAGATGAGATGAGGTGAAAAAAGCTGAGAAGACATGAGATGAGATGAGTTGAGATGGGATGACACAGACTGCCGTGACAATGGGCTTGAAAAATGAGCAATTTCCAAGAGAAGATGCGAAAAAAGCTAAGACATGAGATGAGATGAGTTGAGATGGGATGACACAGACTGCGGTGACAATGGGCTTCAATGAGCAATTTCCAAGAGAAGCTGCGATGCGATGAGATCAGATGAAATGAGAAAAGATTCAACATTCAAAAGACATGGCATCAGATTGACAAGTCAAGAGCTTGTTGCTGCGAAGCACAGAAGGCCTGGCAGCAACCTATAGGCACAGTCTTTGCTCTGCTCTATACGCTATAACGTTTCAATTTTGAAACTCCCGACTCCGGCTTCCCCGGGAACTACTTGTATGTAATGATATGTACTGATATATAGTGATAATAATGACTCATAATGAGATATGATATAATGATATATAATGATATTTTATGATATGTTACTGATCATTGATGATTATTAAGAATAGTTAACGATTGATGATAATTGTTCATGATCCTGGGTGATAATCAATTGTAATTAATGACAATCCTGAGAATCAATGATAATCAATCATAATCACAATTAGTGGTAATTAATGATAATTGCGAATGATAATCAATGATAATAAATGATAATCAGTTATAATTGATGACAATGACATGAATGATCATTCATGAAAATTAATGACCGTGTCTGATATAATATACAATACATGTGCACATACGACACAGATATGATATCATATGCACATCGAGGCATCTCAGGCGATCCTCAGCCTCTGGGAGGGTCCAAGCTCTCTGGCCACAGCGTGGCGCAGTCTTTGAGCACCTGGCAGAAACAGCGTGTGAGACCATGAAAGTGTGGGAAAGTGGGCGTTCTTGATGTTGATTGTGGCAATTCAATTTTCAACAATGAGCCAACCATCTCCAAATATCTCCAAATCCCAAAATGCCCCTCATCAACTCCCACAAACCTCCCATAAGCTCCCATAAAAATCTCATATCCCATGAAAATACTCCCCATCCCAACTATCCCAACCTTGATCTGCTCTCACCTTTGACCACCACATCCTGCCGCCGTCCCCTGGCGCTGGTGGGCGCCGGACGGTCGGCGCGCGCCATCTGCGGCAGCCGCACGCCGCGGTCCGCGCTGCGGCCATCGGCCACGGTGGCGCTGCAGGGCCGGGCTCGGGGGACGGCAGGCAGCATGAGACATCAAGCGACAGGCGACAAACTTCAGGAAATTGATGGAGTTTAAGAGATTTTGACATGTAAAAGTCAGGTAAGTTGGTGAATTATGGTGGGTTTTAACATATTGAAACATGTTGAACCATCGGCTGGAATCTTCAAGGGAATTTACTGTGGATTTACGATGATTTACTGACAAGTTTTGCTGGGTTGGATTAAAAAAACTGGGAGAAATATGGCAAGTAATATGTCTGTGGATTTGTCGGCCATTCAGATCTCTCTACTCTTCGGGTCTCTTTATCATCCAGGTCTTTTGCTTCAACCGGCACCCTTCTGGCACTTGAGCCACAGGTAACAATATATATATATATATGGTAAATATTGTTATTCATGCATTGCAAGTGAAAGTGCCGCCGCAAAGTCTCAAAACGACCAAACAAAAAGTCCACTACAATGATCAGCCTGTCATAACCATTGCTTGGGGCATCCCCGATGTTTGGACATCACTTACATCTGGCAAGACTTCGAAGCTCCGCCTTGCTGCACTGGCTGGCAGCTGCACAAGCAGTCAGAGCTGCATTGACAGCGGACAGGAGTTCCTGCATGGTGCTGAAAAGTGGAAGCTCAGCTGATTAGCTGCTGTCTGTGTTCCGTATTGTTCCATGTGACACTGCCCAAACCCAGGCAGCATCTTGTCCCAAACACATCCGTGGAGGACATGCCAACTGTTAATTGTTAGTTTTGAGGGAAGGGCGTTTGGCCGAATGTTCCCCTCCTTCGAGCGCAGATGCGACAGGCTCAGCATCCAAAGGGTCCAAGGCCATTGGCCTTCCACTGACTCACAAATGGGGGGCAGACAGCAGACATACTGTGGATGGAAGAAATCGTGCACCAACAGATGGTTTATCTCATCATTTATAGGGCTTCAACCATCCAAGGTGGTGTAGGATTTCTTCCATCCACAGTATCAAAGTTCACGTCCAGGCAGGTTTGTGGTAACTTCATGTAACTTCCATCCACCAAGGCAAGGGGCCTGCAACTGCGCAGCTGCTGACACAGGAGAGCCAAGCCTCACAAACTTTCTGGTTCAACTTGAAGCTATTTTGGCCTTTCCCTAAATTTGGGATCCCCCCAACCATAGGATTCCTGAAAAAGGCTAAATCTGGTGGGCGGATGGCAATTTTAGAAACCCACATTTGGATCAAAAAAAGTCGGAACGCAGCCAGGCAGCAACATCTGAAGCCTGTCCTGCGCAGCTCAAGGCCTCACAGCTCAAGGGAAGCACTTGGGAATAACCGGCCGGGGCTGCACCGTGGCCTGTCGCCAGCCGTCTGCAAAGGCTTCAACCTGAGATGATCTTCGAAGTGCTGTAGCTGTTGATGCTTTTTGGAGTCTGTTGGGGCTGCCAACTTACGAAAATACACAAAGTACATTGGCATCATTGGCAACCTACTAGGAATTAGCAGAAAAAACTGCATGAAATGGCAATATTCCCACATGTTCCTACAGAGATCTATAGATGGTTCCAACACCAAGGAGCAAGGGACCCTTGTGCAACTGCATCAGGAGTATGTCGAGAAAATCCTTGGCCATCACAATCATTCAGGGATATCCAGGGTATGTAAGGAGCCTGCAAACCCTGTAGCACGGAACCGGAGTATGTAATGTGGGCCTACCACCCACTGCGTTCATATTGGGTCTCTTGGAGCTAAGGTCGATGCGCAGCGAGGAGAAGACTTGAACTGACCTGGCAAGTCCCAGGTCAAGGGGAATCTAACAGTAATTAGCACAACCACAGCACTGACAACCCACGTTCAGCCCTACCCGGCCTGCTCCATCTTCGGCCCAAGGCGCAGGCACTTAGAGCCTAGGAATGCAAAGGCGTGCAGGTGCACAACCTGGTATAACAAGCACGGACCCTACAAAAAAGATCAAAACAGGCCGGATCCTGTTCCAAGATGTTTCAAGCAAGTATGATCAAGTAATATCAAGCATGTTTGATTTAGGGTTCGATGTTGAATTCGCAGAAATTGGAGACTTTTTGGAAGCTACAACAAGAGCCAACACGACTGAGGCTCCCAGCCGCACTCATGGCCGCAACATCCATTTCTATCCCACATGCTGGGGCAGCCTAAGGCATGGGTTTTTACAACACATTGATCCCGGCGGGGCCATCTTCACAAAGCTGGAGTTTTGATCAGGGCCCTAGCTGAAACAAGTTGCAATGTCTGTTGCCAGGACCTTGGTCATAGTCAAAACTGTGGTGTTTGGACGTGCCGGTGGCCCAACAGTGACAGTAACTTCCGGTCAAAATGTCTCTTGCATGCGAAGTTACCAACAATTTTGAAGTTGCACTGAGACCTATGCCGGCATTGAACCGGATGTGAGGGCCAGGCTGCATTTTGCCACAGGAATCTGCGACTGATGTTACTGCCTGCAGCGGGAGACTCATCGCAGAATGGAAACTTTGCCACACTGAAGCCTCCTTTAGCCATGCAATGCCATGCAATGCCATGCAATGCCATGCATGTTTTCTGATGCTCTGCCGTGCGTTTTTTTTCATTCTCTTTTAAGATGATTCGTCGATTCCCTGCGCACTTGGCAGTGTCTTCTTGAAAATCATCAGGAACGCGAGGGCACTCCGACACCTCTTACAAAACTGGCAGAAACGTGAACGGAGCAGGCTTTCCAATCTGCTTACCCATCAGCGGTTCAAAGCTTGGACTGCGAGATTGGCTGCTTTCTGTCCAGAAAGGAGCATGGCACCAAAGGTGGGCCCCATTCTGTTGCAACCACGTGCTTCAGCCACTTCCATGCCAGCAAAAATGAGGCCTGGGACAACCTCACTGGTCATCTGCACAACAGCATCCTCGGCTGTGTTCATATCCAATGCTCCCATACCAGGCAAGCCTGCTGGCAAAGCACCAAGCGATTCAAGACGCTTGGCAGAGCTGGCACCCATTGGCCCGTCGTGACCGGTAGCTGTCACAACAACCTTGGCTTCCATGACTTGTGGGTCCATGCAGGACTGAGTGTCATGGTTCTGAGTGACCAAGGACCAGTTTGTCACGACACCACGCACTCCAACTTTGTCACCCTCCTGCTTCACCAGCAAGTCCTCCACTGCCACAGCGTTGAAGAGTTTGACATTTGGGGCAATCAAAGCTTTGCGCAGGACAGAGGACATGAAGAGGGCAGCATGTTTCACCACCACATAGTCACCCTTATCATCATAGGGCACTTCCAGTTCATCCAGGAGTTCGTTCGCAGGCTTGCGAACCACCATTGAGCTCATCAACTGACCACCAAGCCAGCAACCCCCTCCTGGGGCAACATTCTGCTCCAAGATCGCAACCTTGATGTTCGGATGCTTGGTGAGCTCATAGGCACAGGAAAGGCCAGCAGAACCAGCACCCACAATGACCACATCAGTCTCCGCGTAGTCAAGCATCTCTGTCATGTACCGCTGAGTCATCTCGCGGCTAACAGTGCTTTCACGGATGGGCGTGAACTGCATGGCATCAAACTGCGCCAGTTTGTTGGCCACATAGGCAGCAGGGTCCGAGGGAACAGCAGACACCAAAGCTGACTTGGCACGGCAACCAGCTGCCCTCTGCGCAAAGCGCATCAAATTGCAGCTCAGGCGTGGCGCAAACATCCTGTGCTCCTGGACTTTAAAGTGGCCAAATCCCTGCGCAGGATTTACCCTGATCAGGTTCGAACGGTGTGTTCTCAGCTCAGCTGCTCACAGGAACAGCTAGCACCCGCAAGGCCTACCTTGATATTGCAAAAGGCTATCAGGGCATTCTACTACTATCATTGCTCAGCATGCTGCAAGAACACCTCAAAGCTGAGTCATGTCATGCCTGTGTCACAACAAATCTTCCTAGACTGTTCAAGTTTGCTAAGGCTAAGACGTGACATTGCTTAGAGTAATATGAGCTAAACTCGCATCGCTATTGTGTGTAATGTCTCTCTCTCTCTCATTAGTGAGCGCAATATCATGCAACTTCCACAAAATCATTGGCAGCGCTTGCATCAAGAATCCGGTGGGTGCACTCGAGTGCTCTCCGTCCCTCGCTCCCTTTTGTCGATGCTCGAAAACACATCGCGGGAACTAGCGCGCAATCCACTTGCACGAGATAGTGCGGACTCTTGAATGGCCCGGCTTTTCAGAAGCAGCATTTCACACTGACTTCTGGTAACAGTGTAACTCTATCAGCCGGAGTCTAGTCTTTCTATTCACTTCGATATCTCGATCCTAACGGTTCAAAGCTTGGACTGCGAGATTGGCTGCTTTCTGTCCAGAAAGGAGCATGGCACCAAAGGTGGGCCCCATTCTGTTGCAACCACGTGCTTCAGCCACTTCCATGCCAGCAAAAATGAGGCCTGGGACAACCTCACTGGTCATCTGCACAACAGCATCCTCGGCTGTGTTCATATCCAATGCTCCCATACCAGGCAAGCCTGCTGGCAAAGCACCAAGCGATTCAAGACGCTTGGCAGAGCTGGCACCCATTGGCCCGTCGTGACCGGTAGCTGTCACAACAACCTTGGCTTCCATGACTTGTGGGTCCATGCAGGACTGAGTGTCATGGTTCTGAGTGACCAAGGACCAGTTTGTCACGACACCACGCACTCCAACTTTGTCACCCTCCTGCTTCACCAGCAAGTCCTCCACTGCCACAGCGTTGAAGAGTTTGACATTTGGGGCAATCAAAGCTTTGCGCAGGACAGAGGACATGAAGAGGGCAGCATGTTTCACCACCACATAGTCACCCTTATCATCATAGGGCACTTCCAGTTCATCCAGGAGTTCGTTCGCAGGCTTGCGAACCACCATTGAGCTCATCAACTGACCACCAAGCCAGCAACCCCCTCCTGGGGCAACATTCTGCTCCAAGATCGCAACCTTGATGTTCGGATGCTTGGTGAGCTCATAGGCACAGGAAAGGCCAGCAGAACCAGCACCCACAATGACCACATCAGTCTCCGCGTAGTCAAGCATCTCTGTCATGTACCGCTGAGTCATCTCGCGGCTAACAGTGCTTTCACGGATGGGCGTGAACTGCATGGCATCAAACTGCGCCAGTTTGTTGGCCACATAGGCAGCAGGGTCCGAGGGAACAGCAGACACCAAAGCTGACTTGGCACGGCAACCAGCTGCCCTCTGCGCAAAGCGCATCAAATTGCAGCTCAGGCGTGGCGCAAACATCCTGTGCTCCTGGACTTTAAAGTGGCCAAATCCCTGCGCAGGATTTACCCTGATCAGGTTCGAACGGTGTGTTCTCAGCTCAGCTGCTCACAGGAACAGCTAGCACCCGCAAGGCCTACCTTGATATTGCAAAAGGCTATCAGGGCATTCTACTACTATCATTGCTCAGCATGCTGCAAGAACACCTCAAAGCTGAGTCATGTCATGCCTGTGTCACAACAAATCTTCCTAGACTGTTCAAGTTTGCTAAGGCTAAGACGTGACATTGCTTAGAGTAATATGAGCTAAACTCGCATCGCTATTGTGTGTAATGTCTCTCTCTCTCTCTCATTAGTGAGCGCAATATCATGCAACTTCCACAAAATCATTGGCAGCGCTTGCATCAAGAATCCGGTGGGTGCACTCGAGTGCTCTCCGTCCCTCGCTCCCTTTTGTCGATGCTCGAAAACACATCGCGGGAACAGCGCGCAATCCACTTGCACGAGATAGTGCGGACTCTTGAATGGCCCGGCTTTTCAGAAGCAGCATTTCACACTGACTTCTGGTAACAGTGTAACTCTATCAGCCGGAGTCTAGTCTTTCTATTCACTTCGATATCTCGATCCTAACGGTTCAAAGCTTGGACTGCGAGATTGGCTGCTTTCTGTCCAGAAAGGAGCATGGCACCAAAGGTGGGCCCCATTCTGTTGCAACCACGTGCTTCAGCCACTTCCATGCCAGCAAAAATGAGGCCTGGGACAACCTCACTGGTCATCTGCACAACAGCATCCTCGGCTGTGTTCATATCCAATGCTCCCATACCAGGCAAGCCTGCTGGCAAAGCACCAAGCGATTCAAGACGCTTGGCAGAGCTGGCACCCATTGGCCCGTCGTGACCGGTAGCTGTCACAACAACCTTGGCTTCCATGACTTGTGGGTCCATGCAGGACTGAGTGTCATGGTTCTGAGTGACCAAGGACCAGTTTGTCACGACACCACGCACTCCAACTTTGTCACCCTCCTGCTTCACCAGCAAGTCCTCCACTGCCACAGCGTTGAAGAGTTTGACATTTGGGGCAATCAAAGCTTTGCGCAGGACAGAGGACATGAAGAGGGCAGCATGTTTCACCACCACATAGTCACCCTTATCATCATAGGGCACTTCCAGTTCATCCAGGAGTTCGTTCGCAGGCTTGCGAACCACCATTGAGCTCATCAACTGACCACCAAGCCAGCAACCCCCTCCTGGGGCAACATTCTGCTCCAAGATCGCAACCTTGATGTTCGGATGCTTGGTGAGCTCATAGGCACAGGAAAGGCCAGCAGAACCAGCACCCACAATGACCACATCAGTCTCCGCGTAGTCAAGCATCTCTGTCATGTACCGCTGAGTCATCTCGCGGCTAACAGTGCTTTCACGGATGGGCGTGAACTGCATGGCATCAAACTGCGCCAGTTTGTTGGCCACATAGGCAGCAGGGTCCGAGGGAACAGCAGACACCAAGGCTGACTTGGCACGGCAACCAGCTGCCCTCTGCGCAAAGCGCATCAAATTGCAGCTCAGGCGTGGCGCAAACATCCTGTGCTCCTGGACTTTAAAGTGGCCAAATCCCTGCGCAGGATTTACCCTGATCAGGTTCGAACGGTGTGTTCTCAGCTCAGCTGCTCACAGGAACAGCTAGCACCCGCAAGGCCTACCTTGATCTTGCAAAAGGCTGTCATGAAATGACTATGAAATGAAAGCTGTCAGGTCAACTCGTTTGAATGGAACAGGACACACTCCCAGTCTCAACGCGAACTCAAAAGCCCAAGGAAAGCTGGGTTTGCGGTGCCCATTTTGCCTGCACCCCAGCCGTTGCTGACCCACACTTGCACCTGGATATCATTCAAACAAGAAGCAAAAGACTGTGTTGAAGCATGATGTGGAAAGGGCCCTGGCATCTTTAGCAGCACAATGCTCCGCCTGCAGCCACAGCCCACCCAATGATCAGTCCCCAGGAAGCTGAGCTGCTCCCAGCTTGCACGAAGAAACTGGATGGATAGGACTTGAAGTGAAACGAATTGAGGTGAGTGACCCATTCCCACCTACTGTTGATGGAATCAAAAACTCAGCACCTTTTGACCAGTAGTGTAACCGTAGTGTAACCCGACAACCCAACAACCCAACAATAAACAATCCCCAATTCTAACAAAAATAGGTGGTACGGATTGGTACGGTATAAGCCATCCCCCCAACTGGGGGGTTATCGGCCTCCATTGCAGGACGGAGGAGCAGGCATTGATTGCGGCGCTGTACTGCCGCATGTCCAGGCACATTCTTCCTGGACCCACAAAGACATCTGGCTGTTGCCATGGGAAATGTGATGATGACTATTGTTATTGTTGAGGTGATTACTATATGTAACTATTTAACTATTCATGATGATCATGATGATTATGATCATGATGATTCATGATGATCATGATGCAACTACAGCAGCACAAATATGCGGGGTCCTTCTTCAGCATTTCTTGCCAAGACGAGGCAAATCGACCACCTGGCACTGCGTGTGCTGCGCTTGCCCGGGCCTCCTAGGGGCCTATGGATCTCTTAGTTTTGAGGCTCCAACTGCTGGTGCTGACCCTTGGTTGCAATTTGCAATGGGCACCGAAGGGTCTCCGGTTGAAATGACTTCTGAAATGGACTAATCCTCCCAAACCTTTGCCAAAACAATTGTTGAGTTGCTTTGAATGACTGTTCTGATCCAAACTAATCCAACTGTGGCCACATTGGTCCCCAACCATCAATGGTGGATATTTCATGGACATTTACTGGAATATATATGTATAATATCATCATGTTTATCATCTATAAATGGACCATCTATGCCATAGCTATGATAAATAACCAAAGGGTATAACCAATAATGATGTTCTTGGCCCGAAAAAAATTCGGCAAGCGTCGAGCTTTTGCAATTCAGCTCCTTGTGAAGGCGCATCAGCAACATCAGCATCCTCCAGGATCGTTGCACAGCGTCTCCTCACATAGGCTGTTCATATGGGAAGATATGAAGATCACCATATTTCACCGAGAATAAAGATAATAAAGGATGTCCCAGCGCACCAAGATTCACAGAGAAATAGGGAGGTAGGTTACGGTAACTTACACTGAAACCATTGAAACCTTGAAGTAGGTCCCCAAGTGACACCCCTCCCACGCGTTCATCCAACTTTGCTTCTAACTTTCCATCCCCCCTTGGCACCAAGTCTGGACAGTAGCAGCTGCAGTGTACCTTGGCATTTTGAGAATAGTGGCCCATGCAAGGTGTCCTCAACCAACCTCCTACCAGTCCACCACAGAAAAAAAAATGCAAAATTGCAGTTGGTACATTTGGTACCCAAGTTGATGCGCCTTTTACTTGTACCGCTTGTACCAAAAAGTGCAAGTCTGATTGGAATAACTGGTTGGAATAACTCGTTGGAACAACTTGATATATCATTGGCTCTACACCAGGTAGCATGACCCCCTATAATCAACCATAATTTATCAACTTGTATCCCCATATATTGTTCATGGTTAAAAACATGTTTAAAAGGAATACTTTATATATATATATATGTATGTGTGTGTGTGTGCGTATGTATATGCAGTATATACATATGTGATGTGTTTTTATGGTTGAAATCCCTCCATCCCGTGGGGTTTTGTTACAAGCTGCGTGACAAGATCTGCCTCAGATGACTGGCACAAGAGCTCTAGGAGGAGAAGTGCCTGACTCGCGGAGGATCGGATTTCCCTCAAGGTGGTGTCCCAAAAACGCTCAGTTGGTGAACATAACTGTTTAACTTCAAAATCACTTGGGTTTATAGTGGATATATCTATATACTGTTATATACTTAATGGGGGTTGCCACCTTGTAGGAAACCATGACTGGTAACCCCCAGTCTGAACTACTGAAGGTTGGGCCGTTCACTGGGCAAGAATGGTGAAGACATGTGGAAGCTAAACACAAACCGCCCATAAACCCCAAAAATATTCAATTCTGGAATCTTAAGGAGTCTCAAATTATAATCTTGACTACTACCACGTCCATAAATGTATATAAATGGGGTATATAACCATCATAAATCCTCCGGTATACGCATTATGATCTCCCATGAAAAATGGTCATGCCTGCAGCCACTCTGTACCCAGATTGGCCATCAAATTGTTCCAGCAGAGCGTGCCCGGCCTTGTTTCAGGAGTCAGCCCTCCCACCTCCCAAAGGTGACCAATTTAGTTCAGCAAGAAGGATCTTGTTGGCGGGTCACTTTCTGGCTGGTTGAATCCTCCCATGACGTGAACCAATGAAAACATTGAAAAACCCTCAAGCAAAAGGTTCATGTGCACAATGCTAAGATTAAAAATGGCAGGTATGGCTCATAAGATCCCAAATGTTTAAAGATTCAACCGCCACTGCGGAAACTGGTCCCCTGAGCCGCAAAATGGTGCCCATCTGGGGTGACAAACTCGCAGAATTTTGATCTGAGCGTCCAGAGCAGCCTCTGAGAATGGTCCTGAGAATTTCGAAGGGCTGAAGTTCACAGCTACAAGAATCCACGGAATCCATGGGTTTCCCGAAGTGATCTACAGATAGTGGATATGCCATTTCTATGCTGGTTGGGGGTTAGATCCTCTTCAAAGGTTGAGTTCATCACAACACACTCTGACCTATACCAATGCAGTTTTTTTTCGCTTCTTTTTCACGTCAGTCTGTACTCACTTGCAGATCCCAGCCGCAACTACAAATCACTTGGTGATCCGAAACTAGACATGGAGTGGAAGGCGATTATGCCCAAAAATCTGACAGCCACTTGGGATGCCAACCCACAACATAATATGTGAAGGCTGAATTTGCGGGTGACACCTTTGGGTCCCGGTTTCAAAAAAAGCCACGCCACAATGGCGTTCTTCGGGCATTCCTGGATGTCGAAAGTGGTTTGGCCTATTTGGCCCTTTGACACATCCAGCATTGCCACACTCTTTACAAGGTCGGCTTTAGAGAATTCACCTGGATTGAATTGCCCCCATTGGAAAGTCAATGAAACCACTTCCGACAGCAATCCCCAATCATCGTGTTGCATTTGTAGTGTCCTCACTTTCCTACGCCATGGATTTCCAATGGGAGGATTGTGCCTGATTATGGTAATTATTGAAGTCGAAGTGGTATGTTTGCCATTTGTTCTTCCTAGCTGTCTTAGCTTTCGAGCAAACTTACCTGCATGTGCTGAATTTGCGTCTGCACAGATCCCAGGAAAAAGATGATGAGTTCCAAGGTGGAGACCGGATCATCATCCGGCAAGTCCGAACGACGACTGGATGCCACCTCCCTGAGCTGATCGAAGAGAAGGAGAAGTCGAAGAGCAAAGTTGTCCGCTACACCCTGCTTCGCACCACCTAAGGCGTGGTAGAGGGAGAAAAAAAAAGGCGAAACTGGCCGGGCAAGAAAATCTGAAATAATCTGAAGTTCCTGTAGAATACAGTTGTTCCCATATGTATGTTGGGTGTGCATGGGTGTGCATCTTTGTGTGTGTGCATCCGGGTAGGCAGAATCCAGGTAGAATGCATATGTACATATAATACACATGCATGTACTTGCATGCGTATACATGCGCCCATTGCTCACCATCCACCAACAACAGCGGACAGACTCCGAGAACACACCAACACCATGCAGGGATGCCCGAACAACATACCCCAACATATATTACGCGGCATTCACTAGCATCAGGAAAACTTGTGTGTCCGTGTTGAGTGTTGAAATTGTTGAACAAATACTCGATAATAATATATAATTGCATCATATAGATTGCTGCAGCTTTGTGCACCTTTCCCACCTGGTTCCAATGCTGTCACCGGTGGAAGGACGAGGGGGTTGTCTTCCAAATTCTCCTTGGCCAGTTTTTTCGCCAGCTTTTGAAGTGCACGCTGCTGGGACCAGATCTTCTTGGCACCCTGCCGGGATGCAGCCAGTAGCAGCGCTTGTGCAGCAGCTTTACGGTTGGAGAACTGGTTGGATAACGAGGTGGTCACCCAGCTGTCACTCCCACTGGTTGTTAGCTCAAAGATTGGGTTGGAAGCCGTGCGCCGCAACACTTGACCTGGATCCCTTAAGGGGTCCCCGTGGAACACCTCTGGCATGGCTATGGCTGGATCTAAGGGGTCTATGGCTGCGATGGGAAATTCTTCTGCACATGGCACCTGTCCATTTTTCCGGACTGCTCCTTTCCATGCCAGCTTCCATGGTGAGCGAGCAATCTTGCAGAAGGCATTGCTGACAGTCTGGGTATACAGTCTGCTGCGCAACAATTTCCTCAGGGATGAGCCAAGGCGAAACTGCGTCAACACAATCCCGCCTACACAGAGCCACTACTTTGGAATAGGATTCATCTAACCCCAAGGTTTATACTTCCAACATCTTCCAACAACTCTCACCCCCTCCTCAACTTCTCTGCCTCCCTACTATCTTCTTTCTCCTGCTTCGAGCTCCAAGGCTTGGAAGATTGGAGCCTTGCGGCGGTCAACACCCGGATGTTCTCCAACATCTTCTGGATTTCCTCTGCCAAGGTGGCCAGAATAGGCCGAAAGAGCTCGTTTCGGAGCAGGGGCTGCGCCAGGGCCTTTGGTGTGCGACCTCCCTTGAAGATGCGAGAGCCAGCCTTAGACCATCTTAGACCAGCAAAACCACCAACAAACATCAAACAAACTGGAGGCATTGTCCGGTATTGCCCATGCTAGCCAGCATACTTTCACCAGCTTCCCTCTGGAAAGGACAGAGGCTACCCTCTGAATTGGGGGTCTTAGTGGTGTCAATCCCCCCGTGTTTGAGGATAAACCCAGCCCTAACAGAAGTCTTGAGACCCAAAACATCACCCTCATTCATCACTTTGAATATATATACATATATATATATACATATACATATATATGTGTGATTATGTATGTCTCTCTCTCTCATATATATATATATATATATTTTTTTAACATATCTCGATTCACCTATCTCCATATAATTATGTTTTTTTTGGCCCAAAAATCTCCCTGGCCTTCAGCTGCACCTGCTTCTGTGGCTTCTCTAGGAGCTGAATCGCCCAGGTGATGATCCGAAAATGCCGCGTGACGACCCGCAGGCCTCGCTCCAGGTCCAGACACAGATCCACTGGAAAGCTGCGACCATAAAGGCTGGGTTCCTGGGATTCTGAGATCGGGTGGAAAATCATCACCTTTAAAGCCATCTAGTCAAATCATGTCAAATCCCCCCGAGAGGGGGAAAAAAAACATAGAAATCAACAAAACTGGTTAACCTCGTTAACAGCAAAATAGTATGGCTACTGGCTACTGGCTATCATACAATCCATCCAGGTATCATCTGCAGCATAGGGAAGGAGATTTGCCAACTCATCCAGGTCCTCATAGATCCCAGCCTGCAATTTGCCCAGCACATCTTCACTGGCATCTTCACCTTCTTCCACATCTGACTTCTTGGTCTTTTCGGAGTTACCTGGGATAGGTCAAGGATCACTATAGCAGTCAATCGCAAAGACTATTATTGGATTGGCACCCTGAATGAGAAAATTCTTGTCAAACTCCTGGGGAAGTCCGGGAGAAAAAAAAACGAAAAACTGGGCGCCTGGAAGATTTTCCGGGGGGTCCAGCACTTGAACTGCGAACTTGGAGACCCGCCCCAGGCCGCGCAAGAGCCGTTGCTTCGCTTGTCTCTTGGCACTGGAGGCCAAGATTAAGTCAATCAGCAGCAGCACAGACACACCTAGCACTCACTAATGGAACTCTTTTTGGGAGACATCGACATTAATTGACCGACTATTTTAAGAAGAGTTTAAATCATCTAAAACCAGACCTTCACCATCTTTGGAATGAACTTCCATTTTTCAGCATCCATCAACCCAATAAAAGCCTTTGTGTTAAGCCCCCGCGGCTTCAGCCCACCTAGGAAGGTTCCCACCATGGTCACAAAGAGGAAGCTCCCATCCGAGCTGGTAACTTTCACCGCTTCCTCCCTGAAGAGACCCTTGCTGGGAATCAAGGCTGACATGGCGTAGGCCGCGGTGAGCAGCGCCACGCCGCCGTGTTTCTTGGAATGGAACGAGGCAAAGACCAGGGCTGTCACCTTGGGGTTGTTGCTACACTTTCCGGGAGATTTTCCAATTTTGGGATGATGATTAGTGGTAGAGACCTGGTAGAAAATGGAAAAATTGAAAACTCACCTCGAAATCAAATCGAAGTCACGGAGATCAACTGGAAAAGTGCCAGGCAAATGGCATGGCCCACTGTTTGAACCGCAAATAAGCGCTGAGCAACACTGCCCAAAATGTTTCCCAGCAAGACTCCATTGAAACGCTTCAGAGTCAGGGGCAAGCTCGCGGCGGTGAAAGTGTAGATGATGACAGACACCGTGGAAGACGGCTGCGAAGAGTACGGAGCAATGACATTGGCTACTCCGAGCCAACCAATGACAAATGTGATGGTGAGAGTCAGAGTGTATCGCAGCACAAATCGGGGATGAGTGATGGTTCGCTCATAGAGCTTGATTTCCACATGGCTCTGCAAAGACTGCAAATAGCGACACGCTCTGGCACAGACAGATTTCTTCTCCTCCAAGCCATACAAAGCCAGGCTGGTCAGAGCCTGACATGAATCATCCACTACACCAGTCACAGCCAAACAAAACACCAAGGCCGGTGGCAGCAAAAAGTTGGAATTGCCCGGTGCTTCGTAGCTCTTCGGAAACTCCTGGCAAGATAGACATAGCACCAGCATAACATAGCATGACATAGCAATAATTAGGTATGATATTGCGTGATATGGAGGTTTCCTAAAATGGAGGTACCCCTTTATAGATGGATTTTTACATCATATAAACCATCCATTTTGGGGTAACCCCCATTTATGGAAACATATGGAAAGTATACATAAGCTATGCCGCTTGCCGAAACAAACCATGTTTGTTTGACCTGTTTACCCAGGTGCCTGCGCCAACTGTTCACGTAAGGCCTGTCGCTTTTCCAGCAAAATATCAACCACTGGCTTCACTTCATCTGGAGTCCTCGGTTGAGACCGAACCCAAAGGGAAGATCATGGCAATGCATGGCGGCATATGTATATATATATATATTCATGTGTATATATATATATATATCATTAATATATAGACATAGAGAATAAAGGTGAACTGGAGGAAAGTCAGGTCTCTGATCGCAACAAACGCAAATGTCAATCAGTTGTCAAGTACCAAGCTGTGTCACCCCTAACCCTACTACCTCGACGGAGTAATTTCTAAGAACTAAAACTCCTGCGCAAATCACCAACCCCACCACTTAGTGAGCAGTGAAAATAATTCGTTACAGTAATTAGTTAAAACTTAAAAACATGGAAAGCCCCTGTGCAACTCAAAGTGTCTTGACGGCCAACAGGGCTCTTAATGAGCCAGCCACCAGGAAGCACTCGCCTCGAAGTGATGGTAAGGTGGCTGCAACCTGGGGTGGTTTAACCACCCAGAAACCACAATGAGGTGTCAAAAGATGATGTTGGTATAAACTAGGTATTATAAGATCTTCATCCCCATGAAAGAAAGGAAAATATCACAAAAAATGTATAGATGTTTCCAAGACCCTGCAAATGGAAAATACACATTTTAATCAGACAAAGCAGGACCCGACCTGCTCACTCTCCTTCACCGGCAGGGCAGCTGCTGCGCAGAGCACAGCATCTATGTTCTGCATGGAGCATCGCAGAATCTCGAAGAAAGCTTGAAGCCAACGGCGGTAGGTGGCGCGCCGTTTCCAGATTCCAAAGTCCTCAAACCACATCACCTGAAGGTGGGACTCCAGATCTTTCATCAAGGATGTCACCTCATCCATGGCTGCTTGGGTCTTGGATCTACACAGCTCTGAGGGTGTCAGTGGCAAGGATTCCAAAACCATGACCACGGCGGAGCCGGTGGTCTGAAGCTGTGACCTGGCCTTGGAGGTTGCTGTGATGGGAGTCGGGATCAGGAAGCAAAGGATCACCGCCAGGGAAGCTCCAGTGACGATGGTGAAATAGTTGGCTGCGAGTGATGGCGAAATGTCAAAGGAGCCGGTGGAAGGATCCAAGAAACTCATGACATAAAAGGCATGAGTTGAGATGCTGAAGACACGGACGTTGGTGTTGAAGCCAAACGTCAGCATGGCGAAAACAAAGAGGATGAAGTCAAGAAGAACCACCATAGCTTTGACATACTCAGCATCTGGCGCCAGAGCCGTATTCATATTCACAAAGCATCTGTTGAAGCTCAGGTCCGCCCCATTGTTGCACAAGGGAAGCCATTTGGAGGTAGGCACCAGCGATCCCGTGCTGTTGTCGAAGAATTCAATGCGGTTCTGGTAGGCTCCCCCAGACAGCCAGGGACCAAAGGCATTGTTCAGCAGCATCATGTTGAGGGTTGCTAAAGCGGTCCCCAGCCATCCCTCCAGAGTCGACTTGGTGGAGGCTCCCAACGTGGGACCAATGCAAAAAAGGAATTGCAGCAGCATGGAGCCCCAATAGCCCAAGTATTCCTGGATCTGGCTGGAGCCCTGCACCCATCTAAACCCAAGATATCTACCATCTGGTCATTTAACATAGCCATGGAAAATCACCATTTTCAATATATAGGTAAACCATCTATAAATGGGCCATTTCCCACGGCTATGTTAAATAACCAGAGGGTAAATCATTTTTTGGGACCATAAGTCCATTGAAGATATTGAAGGGGTGGAAAGTAATGGAAAGTATCCTGAAATCACCAGCGAGTTTCACGCTGGACAGTGCTGACTTCTTGTAGTCGCAGTGCCCAAGGCCATACAATGATGGGCAGGGTCAGGAGAACGGTCCAACAGCCCACCCGAAATGCAGCATGCATCTGGGCTGACGACTGCTGCTTGGCATGTTCCTCTGAAGTTCGGCCCCGGACGTAGGTATCCAGAGCTGTCAAGGCTTCTTCAATCTCAAGGGTGGCCTCTTCCGGCTTGGTTGATTGCATGATTTCCAAGGCCGTGGCCACCGTGGCTGTTGGTACTTCCGGCTCCACGACCTCTGGCTCTTCGCTCAACTGACCGCCCAGCGAGCCACGGTCCTCATCGTCGAACCTGGACCTGGAAGCCGTCAGCAGGCCCGGTGGATCCGTGTTGGATCGAAAAATGATGGGCTCCAAAGTAAGCTCTGGAAGTTCAGGCAGCTCAGGAAGTTCCGGCAGAGGCTTTCCTAAAAAAAAAAAAAAAGCGCTTGAGATACAAAAGGCAAACCGGTGACTAGTCGTGACTAGTGATCACCTGGATAGCCAGCGGCAAACAAACAAAACAGGGGCACCAAAACGGTCAAGCTTCGGTCTTGATCTTCAACTTTTGAGATTGTGGTGTGAACTGGTGGGAGGCACTTCTCATAAGACTCCTTTCGGTCATATGTTTCTGCAGGTGGATCAGCGTTCCTCTCATCCAGCACTTGCAGGTCCAAATCTGGGTCAAGCACTTCACATTGCATTCTTCTGCAGAGGACTAGCGGAAAAACTTATCTTGGCTTCAACTTGAGCCTCACAATGCGAATTCTCGTATCAAAATAAAGGCTGCCAGGCTTTTAGAATATTTGGAGCTCTTGACTCAAATGGTTCAAGTTTCTGCTTCGCTTCTGAGGCACATGCCCATGGAGCCTTGTGGCTGATGGTCCCCACGACCATCATGTTGCCAGACATGCCACCCTGCATCCCATTCCAGAAAGTTTGTTCACACCAGATTTCAAGCCAAAACCTCCAGCGACTCCAGTTGAAATCCTCTGACGTCCAGGGTCGAAGCCAGAACAACAGCTACAAGCGTCTGCAACGATGTTCACCCATCTTCTCTGAGGTTGAAAAGCTGCAAATGCACTACAAACATCTAGAGAACATCGTACCATGATAGAATGTACCATGCCAGCCTCCAGCATATTCATCAAGATCTGATTGCTGCGCATCCATTTCGTTCCACGACCTGGAACGGTAGACCCTGCAAGACCCCCCTCTCAAGGCGGGTCAGGCATCGACCTGGCATCCCTGAGGTTCCAGCTGCAGGCTGAGGCCAAGGCTCCGTAAATGACCTGCAGAACAAGGGATGCAAATCTGTGCCTCTGAAAACCACAAGGGAATATTCAATAACAGATCACCCCAGCTCCATGCCATCAGATGCCATCAGCACATCACCTGATTGCTCCTCAGCTGCCCCTGGTACAGCTCCACCTGAGAGTTTTAGGTCGCAATGTAGCAGCCACAGCATGGCCGGCAGTGCCAAGGATTCTGTGTTCACCATTATGATTGTACATGCCCATACCCATGATGTACCTATATGCCGCGTGTATATTGATGCATGTCCGTGTATAACAATTCCATTCTGGGCATGGGTGTGTGTGTGTGCCAATTGCTGGTGATCACGCGCCCTTGAAGACGCCCGCGTTGATGGACTATCGTGCTAGGTTTTTGTTGTTTCCTCAACAAAACTTCCGTAATTAACCCTAAAAACCCTGGTGTTTTATCAGCATGTTCCCAACACATCTCCAATCACACTTGCCATTTTGGCTTGGGTGATGACCCAAGGTTTGAATTTTACATGAAGATTATATATATATAATTATCGTAAACGATGAAGCATTGAATTTGGAGGGACCCTATTCTCCAACAAACCAGGACCTTCCCAAACGTATCACCAAGGCCACCCCATCTGAGTCCGTTGCCACCAAGTGAGCAGCCAATTTCCACTGCGCTCCACAGCTGTAGGTGGCACAAGCCGCCCCTAGAAGAACTGGATCTGCCTGCAGACTCGCCTGATGGCTGCAATTTTTACCACGTGATAAGGATCGACAAGGCTTATATCTTTGATAATTGCAGGCCTATATGACCTATTATCAATTGTATAGGCATATTATCAATTATTGGATGACCTATATCACCTATTATCCACCATTATCTATCATCCAATTGCATTATTGATGAATGTTGTATAATGCAATTGGATGCACTTGGTGGATCTGTGGTGGGAAAGACTTACCATTTGGAGCAACTGGTGAGGGCTGAAGATCTTCAGCTACCTGGAGCAAAACTTGGGGAACTCTGGGGCGGGCCCTTACGTTTCCATGACGACCCTAAAATATCCTAAAACACTTGAGATTGATCCAAATTGTCTTTCAAAGACACCATAGGATGTCAAAGGATGTCAAAGGTAGAAAGAAAACAGGCAAGTGCTTGCACATGTCCTGTCAAGTGGGCAAAGGCCAAAACATGACTCAGGCTTTCACATAATTTAACACCATCTGTCACGAAAGTGGCCTGACCCAAAGTGCCGAGAATCTCTGCCGCTGCTTTCCATGCCTCGACCAATGGGCATTGACCAATGTCGACTGGCAGCCCCGCCCCCTGAGTGCTGGAACTAAGATCGCCACCGTTCGGCGACCAGCAGCACTGATGGTTTTGGTGTGCCTCACGTTAGGGCCGTGTACAAATGCACTGAGCGCTGAGAGGTCCATTACCACATGCCATCTTCAATGATGGGATTTATTTACAGGAAACCCTGGCCTTTAAACCCAAGTAATTATATCCAAATAGCGTTTGGTTTCCTGCCAGTTGTATCAAGCTTTATCCAATTCTGAGACATCTTCGCTTTGAACCCAGCTGTCACTGCCAAGTTGCTGAAGGAGTTCCTGATGCGCCTGACATGTGGAAAGGAGGGTCTCAACAAATATGCCGCCTGTCAAGCCTAAAGAGATAGCAAGTATAGCCACCTCGAGACATGGCATCCGCTCGGCGCGAGGAGTCCATGTTACACTGTTACACCCCCTGAAAAGTATGCTGGACATTGAGGATCATCCCATTGCTATGGAAAATCTGTTTTGGATGCCCCAATATAAGGGGGGTTACTCCTCATTGAAGTTCTGAAATCAGAAATCCCTGAAATTCCGAAGCTCAAATGGCAGAGTCAAGGCCACGCTCCCAAATACCGCATGGCTACAGAGTGAGACGGGTGAGATCACGTCCAAAAGAACTGCCGGCTGCAGCTCTCCTCATTTTTTCAGGATCGCAGCCGCAGTCCAGGCGTTCACTGTGACCCGCCCTGCGCTCCACTCCCAACGATCAGCTTGAAGGCTGGCTCCTCAGATCTTGGAAAGTTTGCGACCACATGCCGCTGCATGACAAACATGCAGAAATATGCAGAAACTACGACAATCAAACAATCGCAATTCATCGGAAACATGCACAGTGTGACAAGTGCCCACCAAATGAGTCGCCCCCACATTGCGCCACTCTTTGTCGCTCGGGGTCCAACGCCTCATAGAGGTAGAAGCTCCAAGCATTGATCTAGAAATGGTGAAACCCGAGAGGCACAATTCACCTCATCTTCGATAGGTCACTGGATGGACCTCGCCTAGACACCTCCAAACGGAGCGCCAGCTGAAGCCGTGAGCTAACACTGTCTTGCCGCATTCTATATATGTATACATATATATAATCATGTATCTACATACGTGCATATATCTAAAGAATACATGCAAATTATATATGGTATACTGTATACTGTATACATAATATATATATATATTATATATATATAAAGTATCAGTATATGAGCACAGTACAAACTCTGTTTCATCCATAACCGAACACCTGATCAGACATGAATCGAAGTGTTTGTTTATTCGCGAACTTGGCCCTCAATCGTCAGGTTTCGCTCGTCATTAACCATCTCACAAAGGCGGCATAATCCACAGTCCCATCCTGGAACAAATGCCATGTGGATCCATGTGGGGCGATTTTCACTACGTAAATGACCTTTCTTGCTCATCCATTCCCAGTTGTAAACGGGTTCTGTAATGTTATGTGCAACTTGGATTCAACTTGGAACCTTTCAACGTGGGTTCCACAAGCTGCATAATGTATCAAGGTATCACATCATTATCATGTCGGTGACCCAACGCTAAACAATGGGACATTCTACCACTATCATTTCTACCATGATCATTTCCATTTCTTCAACCTTCATAATATTGTTTTGCCTTTCAATATGGAGCTTTCCTGAAATCATTTCAGGGGTACCTCCAAATCATCCATTTCATTTTAGTAGGATTTTCCATTATTTTCCATTACAAACATTTAGAAAAACCATCCATTTTGGGGGTATATACCCAATGGTACCCACATTTCAGGAAGACCGCGGTTTTTTCAGGGATTCCATGCTTCGATCGACCCATTTCGATCGACCCGGGTCTGTCCTGGCGATGCTTCGACGCAGCAATGGCTTGGGTCAGATCATAGACATCCATTCCAAGCAGCTCAAAGAACATGCACCTCACGGTGCGAAAATCCCTTGAAGTATGGATATGTATGGATATGTATGGATATGTATGGATATGTATGGATATGTATGGATATGTATGGATATGTATGGATATGTATGGATATGTATGGATATGTATGGATATGTATGGATATAGCTGATGTTTGTGGTGGCTAGTTGTTTCTTTTTATCCACTTGTTTTGGAATATCATGAAAAATTGGCTTAGAATAAGGATCTGATGGGGATATTGACCAACCAACATTTTGACTACCAACAAGGATCTGATCGGTGGTTTCAACCCCCTTGAAAAACGGCTAGGGCGGGGGTGAAGGGTGGTGACATGTTTGCAAGCAAGAAGGAACTAAGGCTGCAAGTGCCCCAGGTGGATGGGGACGGAAAATAATGAATATTTCAAACCACCAATGGTTGTGGTGGGGGAACCAAGGCCACGATCACAAGCAATCTGAGACTGCTAAGACCCTGACAGCTTTCCAGGACTGATCCTGCCAGTCTTTTCCGCATCTAGCAGTCGCAAATGCTGAATGACGTAGTCCTTAGAGACAAAGCTTACACAACCACACCACCATGACACAGAACTGTCAGAAAGCAAGGGTCATGGGCATCATCTATATTTTTCTAAATGCACACTTGCATTACAGCAGGCCATTGGGGTGTGGAACCTTTGTACTAGCACAGCGGAGTATGTATAAGAAAACTACTGGGTGCAACCCCTGGCAGCGTATCCCCAGCAGTTTGCATAAACAGTAACCGGAGCAGTCTCCGTTTCCTGCCGAGCCACTACGACACGCTCCTACAATGGCACAACGGGTCTTTGTGCTGTTCAAAAAAGAACTTTCTTGCCACTCTGCATATGTCAAAGCATCCTGGCAGCACCCTTTCACGATGACTCTGTCACTTGAGGTCTTGTTGTCTCATTCTTTGTTGTGGGTTTTGGATCAGTCATGTTTTTTCTGCCCGGCATGATGTTACCGGCGCCGCAAACGGAGAAACTCAAATTTGATCCATTTGCATCTGAGATGAAGAGCTGCTGGTAGTGTTGCTGCTTTTGCTCCGGTGTGTGTTCGTTCGGGTTCTTCTTGTGTTTGCTGTCGTGATTGGGGTGGCTGCACTTGGTTTCATTATTGTTTACGTTTCAGTTGTTCCTCCTGTTGTTTTATCTTATTGTGCCATTATCGTGATGTTCCTCCTCCTTCTTTTTCTTTGTCTTCTTCTTCATCCTTCTTCGTTCTTCTTCACTATTCTTCATTTTTCCTCCTTCTTCTTCTTCTTCTTCTTTTTCTTCTTCTTCTTCTTCTTCTTCTTTCTTCTTTTTCCTTCTTTCTTCTTTTTTTTCTTTTTTTCTTTCTTCTTTCTTTATTCTTTCTTTTTTCTTCTTTCTTCTTTTTCTTTAATATTTATTCTTTCTTCGTTCTTCTTTATTCTTTGTTCTTTTCTTCCTTCTTCCTCTTTTTCTTCTTCTTCTTCTTCTCCTTCTTCTCCTTCTTTTCCTCCCTGTTCTTCTTCTTCTTCTCCTTCTTCTTCTTCGCTTTATTGGTCTTATTTCTCCTTCTTATCGTTCTGGATACTTACCGGTCATAAATTATCGTCATTGCCATCATTGTTGCTGCAGCTGACCTGCCAGTCGGCAAATCTGCAAATCTCTCAGTTAACTGATGTTAACTGTAGCAACTGCAGCTCCTCCTTGTTTGGATCGGTTGGATCAAAGTCACCCAAGCTCCTCGTCACCTGCAAACAGCCGCGGCAAATTTCTGGCACCAATGAGCCTCCCTCCAAGCTGGGTTTGTGGAGGATGGAGCGGTCCGCAAAACTTGTGGGCTGCCACCTCTTGGAAACCAAGGCGCCTGCAGCTGCAGCTTGCTTTCATTATTGGCAGCCGTGGGCCCTGGCTGAGGCTGGCTGACCTGCACAATTCAGTCGCATTTCAATAACCTAAAGATGCAGCAGCTAAAAAATGCAGCACAGCAACTTGTACCTCAGGCATCTCACTGCCAGGAGAATTTCCTGCCATCCACACCAGGAACTGGGTAGAAAAGTGCATGGTAAAAGCCATCAAGGTGGCCGGTCCTTGAAGTTCTTCGACCTTCGACGGGGCCTGACCTTTTGTTGCCTGCCCTGACATTGCTCTGGAGGTTGCGGCCTGCCGTCAAACTCATGCAGCATATGCAGCAGACGCCCTGGGAGTCTTCCCGACCTTCCCGTGTTTCCCCAATTCTGGAAGTTGCAGCAGGAACAGTTCCACCGTGTCCACCCCCCTGCGACATGAATCACGACCTCGCCCGACATAGCTCTAGCGCTGCCGCTAGCGCTAGTGCCGATAGCTCCTGCAACTCCTCAAAGGTTCGCATTGGAAATGGCGATCAATTGGCTATCAATTTCTTGAAAATGGATCAAAACTCTTTGCGCCATGGGTTGTTGGATGTGACTGGATCATCACACCATCACTAGCAGCGAAGGTCCTGGATCTGCAGCTTCCTCCAAGGATTGGATCTCTTTCTTTGCCCGGTGTGGCGCGCCACCTGCTTCTCGAACTGAGTTTGAGGCTTTCTTGTCGGATGCTCCTCCATCGTCACACAAGAGTGCTGAAACGTGCTGAAACGTCCCATTGAAACATCACCAAACCTCACACACGATCAGTGCACATACCCCGACGGCAAGAAGCCATGACGTGCCCAACAGTGTCTCAGAGTCAGCGTCATTGAGTGGAAATCAAAATGTCATAATATGTATTATATAATATGTCATACACCGGCATATGTACGGACAGCAAGTGACAGCATTCATGTCGTCACGTCTCCAGGGCCGAAGTTGTGTGCTCCGATCGCCTGGACTATCACAATATACGACAAAACCTGTGCAGACATGGTCTCAGTACAGGTGACTGAGGTATACATTCTTTACATTCCTTTACTGTAAATCTCTTTGGGTCTCAAAGAGATTTAAATGTGTGTTCCAATCATTGTCTGGCGCAATGGCCTCAGAGGCAATTACTCAAAATGAAATTGTATGTGTATTTGTATGTGCCCGACAAAATGCCTCTGATGAGAAGCATGTTGTGTTGTCCACTGGATCAAGCGTCCCAGAAAGATCCGAAAAGCCTCCGCCAGTAGCAATGGCAAATCATCCTGAGGTGGAACTGCATTACCTGATGCTCTGGGTTCTCTGAGCCCATGCTAGGCTAGTCGTTATATGACATCAGCCGTCGAAACACCACCGGAATAGTCACTAAGGACTCAAAAAATGCCACCCTCAAACCGTAACGGAGAGCAGCAACACATGACCCGAGCAAAGACGACATTGGGCTGGAATTGCCCTCTGCGTCTGACAACGGTCTCCGGGTCTCTGGGGGGATGAAATCGCAAGTGACCAAACCACGTCAAAACACGGAGAGGACAGTCCGTTGGCTCCCAAGAAAATAGCGAGTTGTAAGGATCGTAAGGCAGGGTGTCCAGTATCCCAAGCATTTCCAAGAGTGAATCAACAGGTGTTGGGGACACGCCCCAAAATAAACCTCCATCCCGTCAGGTGCAGCCATAGGGAAATTGCAGTGTGGGTCTCGTCCAGCCCCTCCCGGGAAAAGGAGGTGTACAGCCGCCACCGGCGTGGAGGTTTTGGAAACATTACCAAACCACTAAGAGAAGCAACTTCATCCACGACATGAACATGATGTTGACCAACACAGAAACACGTACTCTTTGCCCCTGTTTCATGCAGCAAGTTTTCTGTTGGTTCGCCTCTTGAAGACTTGCAACAAACGCCATTTTCATCCCTGGTGGTCTCCTTGCTGCATCTGCCCAGCCAAAATCTCTGACACCTGCTGAAGCAGATCGGCCAAGCCCGAGGAAGCTGAAGCTTCGCCAGTTTCGCCAGCTGAAATCTCAGCTCCACCGCTTTGGCTTTGACTTTGACCAGTGTGTCCTGGCAGAACACCATTGTGCAAAAAAGTTCAACAGCACCTTGCCAACTCAGAACGTTTTCTGACACCCCGTTCCCATTCAATAATGTCCATTGAAAAAATCGAAAGGCCGCCATTTATCATGATTTAACTATTGGTTGTTCAACACGGCTGACCCCGCTATCCCATGAATTTGGTATATTTAGTAGCGTACCGCCAAATTTCTTCAATTGCCCTCCACACTTATATCTTATATAATATTAGCTGGTTATTTTAGTGATACATCCCATTATACCCCCATTGTTATACTAGAGTCATCAGAATATGTAGCCATTCCCATGGTTGTTTTTGGCATGCGGCTGATATGGCGCCCTTGGAAGGGTTGCCAATTTTGAGATGTGCCATTTACGATCCCTTGGAAGGGTTGCAAATTTCAAAAATGAGGCTTGCGGAAATGGGGGTATAGGATTTGATTTTTTTGAGTTTTTAACATGTTGCACATGCTGTCGTATGATCATCAGGGGGGGTTGGGGGTGGGGGGGGTGTATTAACGTCCCTGACGAGCACTTCCTTTACGTTACGGAAGATGCAAACGTTGCACATGCTGTCAGTTGTGTCAAAGATTATCCCCACAAAAGGTTCAAGTTGGCCCAAGTCAACCACAAACAAAATATCTTTACTATGACTAAGACTTATCATTTTCGAGGTCGTTTGTGGGATAAATCCTATAGAACCATTGTTGCTGGTACTCAACAAATGGATGGAACATGGAAACACTTTAAAAAATGGCGACCTCCGTCGATGCTCCACAAAAAAGCAAAACGTGCACAAAAAAAGGTACACTTGGGCCTACAGCTGGACATGGCGTCACATTGCTGCCTTGTTGCAGACTGTGGCTTCTGCGTTGCCACAAGCGCTCTGGCACCGCTAGCGTCGAGAAGAGGAAAAAACTGGAAGAGTGAATGTCGCCCTGATATGATTCGGATGATTGAAAATCATAAATTTCTAATGTTTTTTTTTGACCCTTGAAGAGCAAAATCGAGTCACCGCGCAGGCGAAACGCAAATTTTCACTTTTGAGTCACACGCCTGCCAATCGAAATGAATGTCCATGTTGCAAACATTTTTTGACGACTCCTGCAAATACCAGCATTTTGTCTCTTAGCCTCAAAAATCAAATTCGTCACCCTTACAAGGGCGCCGAGTCAACCGGTTGCCTTGTTTTTTCACAGTCCTTGACCTGGTGTGTCCATGACCGGGGCCAGTTGCTGCACCAAATGCGCCACTTCCGCCGAACCTTCGCTTCGAAGATCTTCAGAGGCCTGTCAGTGTGTGTTGTTTCAATCATTTCATCAAATTCCATCAATACAAAATAAGTTCAAGGGACATGACTGCAGGCTAACATTCATCTTCATCTCCCATTCTTTTGTGCAACGCAGTTTTCGATAGTTGTGAAGCAAGATGGAAATCTTCTCTTCAAGAAATGCGAATTGCCTTTTGAAATATTCAACATTCCTTTTAAAAAAATCAAAATCGCTGTGAAAGGGACAAACTCCCACACAATGTGCAATATGGTTTAAATATGCTGCATTTCAATGCAGCATATAATGCAACGATGCATGGTACGTGCTGCAGCTTTTGAAAGACCACGCATAAAGTGAGACCACACTTTATTTTTAAAAAATACAGTACAGCGAAAATTTTGTGCCCCTCTGCTGCCTGTAATGGTACAGCAGATAGATAGATAGATAGATGGATAGATAGATAGACAGATAGATAGGTAGATAGATAGATAGATAGACAGATTGGTAGGTAGGTAGAGAGAGAGAGAGATAGATAGTGGAGGGTTCTACAATATTCTACTAAAAGAAACAATTGCAGAACCCATGTCCCAACTGCACCTTGTCTTGTTTCCGATCTTTTGGCACAATTCTGCAACCCATGCTCCAAATCAAATGTGCTTTCATGATTTTGAACCGTTTTCTGGAAGCCTATGCCTGTACGCCTGGATGGACACAACGATTTCCAAGCGAAAACGGTAGCATAGGAGAACTCCGAAAGCAAAATGGCTAATAAAACGCTCTTGGCTGGCATTTCCCCTTAGCCACAAAAAACAGCCCCCCTCCAGGAGAAAAAAACCAGACTCTTCAGCTCAGGGCGGTCCAGCCAAGAGTCTCCCAGTTGTTTTTTTCTGTGTTTTTTCACTTTTCTGGAGGAGCCTTAATTTTGGGCAGCCAGAAAGGAAATCGAAAAAAACCGAAAGAAAATAAAAAGGACAAGCAATCCAAAGAAATTCTTGCTTGAAAACCCCCTCTGAGCCAAGGGTCTGGAAAGATTATGTCATAATGTCTTTCTTTGGCGGGGCTGCACCAGACTGGTGTATACTGCAGTAGGGCGAGTAGGGTATGCATGTTATCACCCAACAACTGCAGCCTCAGGGCCTGCCGTTCTATGTTTAAGCTGGCTCTATGATATCTTATCATATCTCATCATATTTTGCATTCGGTCACTAAATTTGGCAGCAAAGTAATCTTTAAATGACTATATGTGCAATATTAGCGCCATCTTTACCGGAGATGTCCCCAAGGTGCTATATTTTGGGGATGGTTTCCACACATTGTGAAAATCCATGGGTCCAAAAACAGCAACAAATCTCATACCGACCACCGCTACGCAATGCTACTCTTTTCTCGTCATGTCCACAGTTCAAATTCAGGTTTGAGAAGTCAGAAGTTACGCGGACTTGCATTATAAACTATCAATACCTGGGAATGTTGGAATGGCTCAAAATTATGTTCCCAAATATGCCCCAAAGATGGATGGATTGGATGTTGACATGCTGTTAAAAAATCAAGAAAAGAAAATGGGCCCATTGGTGCCCCATTGTTAGCCCAGGCCTTGCGCGGCTTCTGTTCTCCTGCTGGAGCCTGGGGTGCTGATGCTGGGCCAACCTGACGTCCTATGCGCCAAAATGATATGGATTCAATATAGCTTCACATTATGGTAATACCCCCTTTAGGTACCTAGGTCCGCCAGCATCAAGGTGGCCATGCAAACAAATAGCAGCATCTTCAACTGTCGCAATCGATGGTAGATCTTCTGCTTCTTGAACAACCTTGGTTACCGCACTGCTCTCGATTGAAAATTAAAAGAAAAACAAAAAATTGCGACCCACACAGCCGGGTCATGTCCATCCCAAAACACAGCCAGGTTGCAGGAGCTTTCGCATCTTCAACCGGCTCAGCTTCTTTCACTGTCTCCACGGACCCCACCGCATTCCCACGGCCATCCACCGCTTCCGCCACCAACCCCTCCGGCACGGTCTTGGCATCTGCCTTTCTTTCAAGGCAAAAGGTCATCAACCCATCGCTGGCCATGGCCCTGTGGGGGTCTGCCACCACATCGACCTTGGGGTCACCGGAGGAGTCCTCGACTTCCGGAGACTGGGACTTCTCAGTGCTGGTGGGAGGACCCTGCAGGGTCGACCGCGACGGAGCCGCCTGCGATGGAGCCGCCTGCAATGGAGCCGCAAACGCGATGTTCATAACTACAAAAAGATCCAAATCCTAAAGGTGGAACGTCGTGGAAAGTTAAACTTGGCTCTCATAGGAGAATGATATTATTGAGTTTTCTTAAGCACTGGACATCACTACTCAAGGATCTTCAAGGATGCTGCACTACACGTTGGAACCATTCTGTCACCACCCACGCCTCAGATGCGACAGGCACCTCAAACACCCGAGGGAAATGCGAGCGTCTTTCTTCGCTGCGAGCAACAGCCATCCGTATTCCAAATGCTACTGTATCCAACCCTGAATGAAAGATGATGAAAGAATGAAGGAATTAGTCATAGTCACCCCTTCCATCCATCAACCGGTTTTTCGCAGCATTTCCTGTTAATCATTTATCAGCTGTGCAAATGTCGATCCAAGATGCTCCAACTTGACTGCGCCCTGTCGCGGGTGGTGTAGGAGTACAGGAGGAGTCATCGTCAATCGAGTTTATGAACCACCTAAGGTGTCAACGGAAATCGCGGTGGCTCACCAGAAAATGTGGAAATTTTGCTGGGGGATGTTGCAAAAGGGAACAAAGATCAAACAATGTCAATAGAAATATACTAATTTTTCACATTAGACACACCACATGGCTTTGGGCTGAAATCGAGCGTCAATCATTTTGACCCAATCCCTGCAGGTATTTCTACCAATCTATGGAAACTATATGGGAACCCGTATAGATATACCATCGTATCAATTCATACCAACAACGACTTCCCCTGACATGTCGTCCACTCCGTCACTCTCCAAGGAACTGAATCGCCTTGGAGATGTACGTCGGGTCCGTGTGCTCCTTCTTTGGTGCCGGCAGCGCCGGGGGCTCCATCAACAGCAGCTCGGAAAGGTATCTGTCAGGGCCAGGTGGAATGGACGTGAATCAATGGAGAAAAAAAAACAGATCAGCAGATAGAGATTTCGATATGATGTTGGGTGTAATATCTATAGGGGTAGATGGGGTAGATATAGACATCATGTTCCTCATGTTCGGCCCAAGATGTTGACCAACGACCACTGTCACTTGACGTTCAAATCCACCCGCACCAAAGGTGCCGAGGCGTGATGGTTTTAGCAGCGAGGGATACGAACGGACAGACTTGTCAGACTGGTACAGCTTCAGCTGGGGGGGGGCCATGTTCGCCCGGGCACCCTTGCAAGAAAGTGCACGGGGCTGTGGTAATTTTGCACAATTTGGTGGCCGCAACATTGGCCCGACTTGGGGTCAACTTCGGCCAGCAAGGCCTCAACTTCGGCCCAACTTGGACCAATTAGCTGCAACTTCGGCCTAACTTGGCTCCAAGATGGCGCAACTTGGCCTGTGGGAGCAAATTCGGCCCAAGTTGAGGTCCACATGGCTTCAAATTGGGGGACATGACCGGCCCAATCCAAAATCCTCAACACACCCGTTTTCACCGGTATGTTCCAGGTTTTTTGCCATCGATAACGCTTTGTTTGAAGCAATGTTCCCCATGTTGTGTCTCCGTTGGGCCGAACTCGGTGTGAAGCTGTCGCCAAAGCTGCCAAGTTACGGCATGTTAGAACTCACTCGGACTTCCCGTGTGCATCACATGGT